ACACATTTCCTATAAACATCTTGTATTTACAAAGAACAAAATAATAAGTTATAACAAAGTATATCCTTCTGTCAAACTGAACCAGGGGTCAAGGACGTGGAAGTTCGCTTATGTAACAGAATGGCTTTCCTCTCACTGAGGCAAGGGGCTCACCCTCTGGGAGATGCTGAGAAAGTTGGCTGCGAGTTCCCACCCTCTCGTGGCCACGTCAATTCTCCAACTGTTACCCACTGAACAGAACCAGGAGTGTGGGATGGTTTGGGGTGGAGAGAATTACTTTGCTCCAGTAAAGGTGCAGTAAAGCGAGGCGAGTTGAGAAAGAGAGCAGGTATTTGGAGGGTCCTAGTCTAGTCAAGATACTTCCCCAACAAGGTGTGTGACCCTCCCTGGGCAGAGAACTAGCCATCGGGATGTTCGGTTACTCGTTTACAAAGCAGGACTTGACAGGGCAGCTTTGGCCAAGTTGCTAGTGGTTCTGAGATATGAGGCCACATTCAGCTCAGGTGAGGATGCACCACTGGGTTCAAAATGGGGGACCCAGAAATGGGAAGTCCATGTGCCGTGGTTCAAAATGGGGGACCCAGAAATGGGAAGTCCACGTGCCGTGGTTCAAAATGGGGGACCCAGAAATGGGAAGTCCACGTGCATGTACTTGCCATCCCAGACCAGGTGAATCACTCAAAGCTGCTCTACCGACAGAATCACCAAAGCCTAGACTCCGAAGGGACCTTAGACATCATATTGCCCGAGCTGAGCGCCTGAATGCCCTCTCCAGCATCCCTGACAAATGGCCATTCAACCTCCGCTGAGACCTCCCAGTAACGGGAGAGCCCTCTACCTTCAGGGAGGGCTGGTTCTTCTCCAGGAGCTCAAGTCTGCTTTTACTTCCTGGTCTTAGGGTCACTGTCCTTATAACACGGCCCCATGTCTCTTCTCCAGGCTACACGTTCTCATGACGTCCTCTCCACCGTTCCTAACTGTGTGCACCCCTCCTCAGGATTGGGCGTGCTCATCTGAATGTTACACACTACCAATACTCTCCAAGTGTGGTTGCAGCAATCACAACGCAATGTGGCAGACGGTCACCAATGTTTTCTCCTCATGTAGCCTGAGTGTCTCATTTCGGGTTTGTGTGTGTGGGGGGGTGGGGGGTGGGGTGCTGGAGGGGAGCCTCCACCCCTTTCTTGACTCACTGAGCTTAGTCAACTGGAATTCTCACGTCTCCTCCACCTTGTATTTGTATAGTTTTGGGTTTTTTAAAGTTTACTCATTTATTTTCAGAAAGAGGGAGAAAAAGAGGTAGAGAGAGAGGGAGAGAGAGAGAAAATCTGAGCCTAACATGGGGATCTAACTCAGGAACCAAGAGACCGGAACCTGAGCCGAAATCAAGAGCTGACTGAGCCACCCAGGTACCCCAGTCTAGTTTTGTTTTGTTTTGTTTTGTTTTTAATCCCAAGGTAGACTTATGCTGCTTCCTCGTGAATTCCTAAGATCCGGGTTTTGTTCTAGTCTCCCAGATCTCTTTGGATCCCGAGCCTGTCACTGTCACCAATTTCATGTCATCTACCAATTTCATCAGTAAGGTGTCCAACTTCCCATCAAAGCCATTTAAAGATATGGTAAGGGTCAGATGTTGGCCTCCACCTGCCAGACTGATACAGGTTCCTTCAGGTTTGATTATTCAATCTGTTTTAAGGAAAGACATCTATCTTTTTATCGCTTATATTTATACCTTCTACACTAGAAAACCAATATTCAAATTCTAAAATGGCTGTATTAAAAAAAAAAAAAAAAAGGGGGAGAGCCACTGGTTTAGAAAGGTACTAGTCCTATCCGGATTTCTCTCTCTGTCACACAACTCGATGAGAATAAACTTAGTATCTCCCCACCCATTGTTCACCTCCTTGGTAAGGCCATTCTTTAAAAAAGTTTTTTTTTAATGTTTATTTAAACATTGAAAGAGAGGACAGAGTGTGAGCAGGGGAGAGGCAGAGAGAGAGGGAGACATAGAATCAGAAGCAGGCTCCAGGTTCTGAGCTGTCAGCACAGAGCCCGATGCGGGGCTCGAACCCACCAACCGCTAGATCATGACCTAAGCAGAAGTTGGACGCTTAACCAACTGAACCACCCAGGTGCCCCAAGGCCATTCTTTTCAAAGGCAAGTGTCAAATGCTAAAGACTTTGAGGATAAGCAGATGACATGTACTCACGGAAATGAAGCAGTCACAACATTCCAAGAGCCCTGAGCAGAGAGGCAAGGGGAAAAGGGACAGATGGGGACAGTTCTGAGAGCTCCTGCCAGCAGTGTCGCTCCTCGAGGGTGGGGACAAGCCTCACTTCTCTTGGTTTCCTTACTAGCGTGAGGGCAGTGGCCCAGACGCACCTGTAAAGTGCTCAGCTGACTCCTGTCTCCACCTAGTGGCCAGGTTGACAAGCTTTCTTTAGTGTCTCTCATGCTATTCTGGGGTGGGGGAATCTGAGCGTGAAGGTGGGAGACTGGAGTGCATTGAATGTCCTTTGCCTGGACTGCAAGGAAAACACTTTCCTTTTCTAATGAGTGAAGTAACATAGCAAACTCCTTCTGTTTGGAGATTGTTGGCTTTTGTGAGAAAAACATAGAACATCTTCGATTCGTCTAATTTTAAAAGTCAGGGCAGGGAATGAGGCGATTCAGTACACAGGAAGAAGAAAAGCAGAATTAAAATGGAACTTTCAATTCTGCACGTCCCCGGTTGAGGGAACATGAGTGGGTGGAGAAGGAGCCGGCAGATAATGGGAGAAGGAGGGTGAAATAAGGGGGTGCCAGGAAAGGGAGAAAGAGACCTATCTGTGGGGAGAGTCATCAAAAGGTGAGCTTTCCTCTGACCCCCTCCAGGAACTTTATCGCTGGAAACACTGAGGGACCTTATCATACGTGTTGTGCCAAGGACAAAGGCATTCAGGTGTTGATACAATAAACCCGGAAATGAGCGAAAACTGGATTTCAAAGACAAATAAGCCGCTAAACCCCCTGTTCTAGTAACTTATAACCTTTCCAGAGATAAATGAATTCCAAGAACAGCTCAACTATTTGCTGGAAAAGAAAAAAGACGCTTAGTTTAGGTACGTTTTCTCCCTGAAGACAAAGGACTGACCCCTGTGCACCTACTCAATTCCGCCAGAGGCAGGATGGCCATTCTCACAGGAAGATCACGGTCCCTAGCACAGCTGTTGTGTAACGTTTGGGGGCCCCAGGACACCAAAGACATGTCAAAGAGACAAAGCCAGCATTGACGCAGCCAGTCATGAGAATCTAGAGTTGGACCACCCTGGGGTGGTGACTTGCTTGATGAAGAAATCCCCGTTAGGACGGAACATCGCCCATGTAGGGTGGTCCAGACCTCTGCGGGGCAGCCTGGATGGCTCCAAGGTTTCCCCTCAATTTGAGTGAAATCAGCCTTTCTGCTCTTTGACCCACTGATCTTGCCCTCCACCCTCCAGCATGTAAAGAAAGCTTCCTCCAAGGGACCCTTCCAATCGGGGGCTTGTTCCGCAAGGTCTGAGAGCAGCTGCATGAAGGCAACAGTTCTCTTGTGACAATATGCAAAAGTAGGTGGTGACAGGGAGAGAGAGGGCTCTGGACAGAAACCACCCGAATGCTTGGCTTCTCTGGTCCTGCTGTGCTTGGCGGGCATGGGAACCGGGGTCTCTGCCCATCAGCTCATTGCACGAGTTACACTGTGTGGAGATGAGGACAGATGGGTGTGCTTTTGCAAAATGGCGGCTGGGCTCCCCAAGAAGAGAATAAGACCCAACGAAAGATCACACAGAATTTCTGAAAGCCCAGGGGTAGTGACAACTGAACACAGTGTGTCAGAGTGGGCTGGCCATACGGTTTCCAAAAGCTTTAAGTGACCGTCAAATTAGCAGATTTTTGGGTTAAAGGGCTCATGGGAGAAACTCAGTTACTGAGAATCCAGGTTTGCTTTGAAAGGGAAATAAGCCCAGGACCACGGTACTAAATAAGACAGATTTTCTGTAAGATTACGGTTTGTTTAAGCCTGAAGTTTTTCTTAATTGGTGAAAGAATATAAAACCCTTGAACAACATGGGTTTGAATTGCATGGGTCCGCTTATACAGAGATTTTTCTCTCTGATAAATACCATACAGTATTGTAAATGTATTTTTTCTTTCTTGTGATTTTTCTTTTCTTTCTTTAAACATTTTTTAGGGTTTAATTTTGAGAGAGAGAGAGATAGAGAAAGAGAGAGAGAGAGAGAGGGAGAACGAGTAGGGGAGGGGCAGAGAGAGAGGGAGACACAGAACCCAAAGCAGGCTGCAGGCTCTGAGCTGTCAGCACAGAGCCCGATGTGGGGCTTGAACCCATGAGCTGTGAGATCACAACCTGAGCTGAAGTTGGAATCTTAACCCACTGAGCCACAGAGGTGCTGCTCTTGTGATTCTTCTAAATGACATTTTCTTTTCTCTAGCTTACCTTATTGTAAGAATATAGTATATAATACATAATACACGTAAAAATATGCGTTGATTGCGTCATGGGTAAGGCTTCCAGTCAATGACAGGCTGTTAGTAGTTGAGTTTTTGGGGAATCAAAGGCTACACAAGGATTTTTGACTGCACAGAGGGTGGTTGGCAGCCTAAGCCCCCTAACTGTTCAAGGGTCAACCATATATATATATATATATATATATATATATATATATATTCTTTTTAATTGGCTTCTCAGGTGGTTTACCTTTCCCTATGCACTGCATCCCCCTTGCAGCCCGAGGCGTCTAGAACTGCAGAGTCAGGTGAAGGGCATCGGGGAGGATCCTGCCACTGCGGCCGTCACTGAAGGAGCCCACTGAAGGAGACTCTTCCTGGCTGCTGTATGAATGCAGATCTTAGTGCTCAAGTCTGGGATGGTGCGTACAGGTTGTGAGTCACAGTGGGAGGGAGGGATGGGAAGTCAAAACAGAAACCCAGAAATCAAACTGGAAAAACCAAAGGGAGACTCTTTCTAATATAAACACAGGTTTTATGCTGAGATACATTGGTTAGACTCTCCACTGGGTGATGTGTGGTGAACATCCCAGCAGTGACTGCGAAAGGAAGGAAAGCCCAGAGCCCAGAGATAGGAAACAAGGGCTCCGTGGCCAAAGGGACCCCGGTGTGCAGCTCCCTGCGGGCGGGGGGGAGGGCACATATCACGGGGGAATGCACTCGGAATTTCAGGCATCACCTTGCTACCCCATTGACTTTCTTGTCTCGTGGACAATTCCGTTCAGGACGGGGTTTAACAAAAACCTGCGCAGGGTCCTGTAATGAGGATCTGTGACTTTGTCAGGTAAGGGACAAACAGAAACAGACTTTGGAAACAACAGAGTGCAGCGGATACAGTCTTGACCTTTGGCCAGAGGAAAGAATTCAGAAACTGGGTTTTGTTTGCTGAGCGGGGAAATTTCTCAGTCACTTGGTCTGAAATGAAGCCATGTCCTGTAGACCTAAGGCTTCTGGGCAGGCCTTGGGGTGACTTTTATGGTCAGATGACAGGGGTCGGACTCAACTCTGCCACCGAATGGGTGAATGTACCTGGCAGGTCAGTTACACAAATTGAGCCTCAGTTTCCTTGTCAGTAAAATGGGGATGATGGTTCATTCCCTGGCTTCCATTCTGGGGCTTCGTGGGCCGCTAATGATCTAGTACCTGTGAATACACCTGTGAAACAATAAAGCACTATATTGACATGAGATATTTGTGTCATAAGGCAGGAAAAAGCCTAATGTCTTTGAGAATAAAAATAGGCACAGCCAGGCTGAGGTAAGAGTGGGAAGCAGGCGTCTCAGCAAGGCTTGGTGGGGCTCCGGGGTGGGAGCTGCCTCTTCTGACTCTCCAAGGGGCCCCGATATTGAAAAGGGCAGTAGCACCATGGACGAGGCAGCGCCCCTCCAGTGACTTAGAAAGTGCTGGCACGGGAGTTGGCTGAGAGCCACATGCACCCCGCCCCCCACTGCGTGGTTTTCAGATGGCACCTTACCAGGTGCCAGGTTTCCCAAGGAGGGATCATCAGTTTATGGTGATGCTAAAGGACAACCGTGGCTTGGCTCCTGGGCACGACGTGTCCGCTTTGCCGAAGGTGGGGTGGTGACTACGCTGGCTGGCGGCCTGGAAGCCTCTGGCGGAGCAGCGGCCAGCCAGTCCCACCGCCGACAGACTCCCCGACCGCCCGACTGCCGCGGGGCGGGCGTGTTATCTGCTCCCCAGGAAGCCCGGGTGCCTGTTGGCCACACGCGTGCAGGAGGCACAGCAGGCCGTCTTGTAGTAGTTGTAGACACACAGTCGCGCCTGGACCACCACGTTGCAGTTGTAGTACCTGTCCTTGCAGTTTTCATCTGCAGCAGAAGAGAACAGAGAAGACTCTCTGAGCATAGAGCCAGCCCGGACCCATGGGAAGAGAAAGGACAGTGGACTTGGCTTTCCATCCTGGTCCTGCTTTAGTACCCATGGGAGGTGCAGGGTGGGCGAGGAGCTTATGTTTATCTTTCCTTTTTTAAAAAAAAAAAATTTTTTTTAACGTTTATTCATTTTTGAGACAGAGAGAGACAGAGCATGAATGGGGGAAGGTCAGAGAGACGGAGACACAGAATCCAAAGCGGGCTCCAGGCTCTGAGCTGTCAGCACAGAGCCCGACGCGGGGCTCGAACTCATGGACCGCGAGATCATGGCCTGAGCCGAAGTCGGACGCCCAACCGACTGAGCCACCCAGGCGCCCCTATCTTTTTCTTTTAAACATGGTAACAGAATGGACGGTGTCCTCCCTGCTCCCCAGCAGAGACACAGTTCCCAGAGTTCACTCCGCGGCCACCTCCCCTTTCTTCTCACCTGCCCCCGAGGTCATCAAACCCCACATTTGGTATTTATTATCCCCAATCCTTTCTTCATACACGAGCTGTGAATGATTGTGCCCCAATCACTATGTGGCATTTAAACTTCAAAAAAAAAAAAAAAAGATACAGATTGTATATATTCCTTGGCAACGTGCTGTACGTTGACTTTGTGTGATTCGCTCATGTTTAATGAATGCTCTGCGGGAGTTCATTTTCATCGTTACGTGCCGCAACTTATGGACCCATTTTCCACTGACAGTTGTTTTCCATTTTTTAAGGCCGCAAACACTGCTCCTTTCAACAACTGTTACACATCCCCTTATCTGGGTCCTGCTGGGTCACAAGGTAGATGCAAACTTACTGGATCCCATCTGATGGCTCTCCCAAGTAGGTGCAGCAACCGACATTTTTGTCAGCGGTACAGACGAATTCCCTTTGTGCCTCATCTTTTTGCTGATCTGGCGGATGTGACCTTATCCCCAAATGAGGTCGAACGTGTTGTCATCATACGCCTACTGGCCATTCGAGTTTCCTTTTCTGTGAATTGCTTTTCCCATCTTTTGACCAATTGCTAATTTGGTTAACTTAAAACAAATGATTCAAGGACATTCTTTGCATATAATGGGTCTGATCCTTTTTGTTCATGGTAGGTGTTGCAAATATGTTCTCCACGCCTGAGGCCTTTCTTACCAGTTTGCCTAGTGTTGACTGGCAAATAGATTTTATTTTTAATATAATAGGCATTATAACATTTTACTTTGCGGTTTGGGATTTGTGTTTCTCATCGAAGAAATGATTCCCTATGCTAATAGACATATTTCCGCATATTCTCTTTTAAAAGTTACAAAAATTTCTCTTCACGTTTATTTCCCTAATTCACCCAGAATTGTTGCGTGGGCATGTGCGGTGACAAGGAGGAATTCAATTTGGATTTTTTTCTCTGTGGGTAAACAATTGTTTCATTACCATTAACTGATTGTTCGTGTTTCCTCCCCAGATTCGTAATGTTAACTTTGCCCATGTATCACAAGCCACTCTATGCTCGAGTGTATTTGGGGAACTCTATCCCGTTCCTTTGGTTTAGTTATCTATCTTTGTGCCAGTATCTCCTGATACATCATAGGATATGTTCCCCAACATTGGTCATTATCAAAATCACCTTGCCTATTATTATTTCTTTGCTTTTGCTCTTCTGTGTAAACTTTAGACACTGTCTGTTAGATTTTTCTATGAAAAGCCCTGTCTAGATTTTGATTAACGTTACTTGAACTTACAGATTAATCAGGGAAATAACTGACATAATTTCAGATGCTTGCTTTTTGATATGCCTCACAAGTATACTTAATCCATTTATGCATCATGACATACAGCTTTACCACATTCAAGACGTCAATCCTGTCCTATGTGCAGTAGCATAATTAGCCATTTCCTTCTCCCGGTAGAAATGTAATTGCTTCCAATTTCTATGAGTCACAAGAAATTCTACAATTCAGTCACTTATCAATTCTACACAATTTTCCCAGCCCTATTCCTCATGTATGTGAATATCCATACATTTTTGAGAGCAAAGCTTGAGTGTAAATTTCCGGAAGTAGAGTCACTGAGTCAAAGACACCGAATACTTTGTGTATTGAATGATAGTGCCAAAGTTCTCCTAGAAGATTACATTCCCCCCACAACTTTGCCAACAGCGAATACTGTCCAATTTTTAAAAGTTTTCCAGTCTTAGGGAAAAACACAGACTACCATTATTTTTAAAATTTGCCTTTTTGATGTGCTAGTGAAGCTGATTACTAACTCCGCCTCTTCCAACTATGTTTGTTCGTATCTTTTATCCTTTATAAAATTGGATCACTTGTCTTTTCAGGTACACAGCAAAACTGAAGGAAAGGTACAGAGGTATAGGGATTCTTTTCTTTGGGAGACAGAGAGAGACAGAGCACAAGCGGGGGAGGGGCAGAAAGAGAGAGGGAGACACAGAATCCTTAGCAGGCTCCAGGCTCTGAGCTGTCAGCACAGAGCCTAACGCGGGGTTTGACCTCATGAACCGTGAGATCATGACCTGAGCTAAAGTCGGATGCTTGACTGAGCCACCCAGGCGCCCCTCTTATCTTTTCTTTTTAAACTAATTTGTGTGAGTTTTATGTATATTAAGGATTTGACTCTGCTTGAGTGGCATTGATTTGATTCTTTGATTCTAAGATACGGTCAGTTGTGAGGTGATTTAGTAACGGCTCTCTGGAATTAAGTGAAAGATTATAAGAATGTATGTAGAGAAGAAAATAGTGTGTGAGTACATGGGCAAATGTATGCTGTTATCAGGTTTCTGAAATCTACATACATTCTTATAATCTTAGAATCAAAGAATCAAATCTCCCAGTGTATACAGATTCTTGCTGGGTGCAACTGTCTGGGATACACTTTGTGCTTCATAACTCTGGCTCACAGCCTGGACATTTTTAGTACCTTTGGCTCTGATGGTATCGATCGGGATCAATCTGAGGCATATGAAAGAATACCACGGTCTTGCTTCCAGTTTCTCTTTTGTTGAATCTCATAGTTTCCCTTTTCCTGAATTGAATTTTCTATAATTGGAAACTAAACAGTTTTTTTTTTTCGTGTCCTTGCAAAGACACCATAGACAAGTGGAAAAGACCAAAGCAGACTGGTAAAAAATTTCTATCACATCAAATTAGTTAGAAACCTGGAGGAGATGTCTGCTAGCTGAGGGCTAGCCCTTCAGAATACACGAACCGTTTATGCCAATCACTCCCAGCTTGCAAACTGTACAATCAATTCTATGGGTCTGGTAATTTTGGCTGTCTTTAATTATCTTGGGCTGGCCCGAGACAAATAGACAAGTTTATATACACAACTTTTCTTTCCAGTGTTGCATTACTTTTTTTAAAAAGCAATTTACCTAACAATTTAGGATCCACATTTAAATGAATGCTTTAATTATGTGCTGCCAATGTAAGTAAGTTGATGGAGGCGACATCTAGGTGAACATGTTTGTGTGCATGAATCGGCAATGGTACTTCTGTCACTCTGGGCTCTGGCTCCTGGCTGGACGGTTTCCTCTCATATTGATTGTGTCACATTGCAGTAAGGTATATTTCACATTGTCTCACAATCGTTCCTCATTCTCTCTCTCTTTTCCTTTCTTCGCTTCTTTCAACTTGGGTTATGATGTCTGTGATGGTTCATTTTGTGTGTCAACTTTACTAGCGATGGGGAGCCCAGATTGAAAGTGATTTCCGGGTGTGTTTCTGGATGAGGTTGCATTGGAACTGACGGGCCCCGTAAAGCAGGTGGCCCTCCCCATTGCAGATGGGCCTCATCCACTGAGGGCCTGAACAGGACGTAAAACAGAGGAAGGAGGACTTTGCCCCTTTTCTGTCTCACTGCTTGAGCTGGACATTTCATGTCGTCATCTCGGCTCTTGGACTGGGATTCACGCCATCAGCTCCCCCTGGTTCTCAGGCCTTCAGACTCAGATTGAATTACACCAGCAGCTTTCCTGAGTCTCCAGCTTGTGACGGGTAGATTGTGGGGCTTCTCAGCTTCTACAGTCATGTAAGCCAATTACTCATTTCTCCCTTCTTTTCTCTCTTTACCTATCTATCTATCCATCTACCTATTTATCTATCTATCCCTCTCTCTCTCTCTCTATCATCTATCATCTATCTATCTGTCATCTTTTGTCTACCTACCCACTTATCCATCCATCTATCTTTCCTATTGGTTCTGGTTCTCCAGAGAGCCCTAATACAATGTTCTTAACAGAAAAATGTTTTTAATTAATTATGTTTTTACATTCAGCAATGAGGCCTCTGAGTTTTGGGTCTAGTTTATGAAGACTTAACCAACTCTGAGATGTATTTTCTCTGGCATTTTTACAGTATGTTTTTTTTTTTTTTTTTATGTAAGGATCTTCAATCCATTAGGCACTTGTGTTTCTATATGGCATAAGGCAAGATTTAAGATGCTTTTCTTTGTTTTTTCAAATGGATCTTCAACTATCTGAATACAGTGGAAATCTCTCCTTTCCGTACTTCCTTAATATTAGACTATCATACTTCACTTCCTTGGTATAAAGGAATCTGTTTCAGAATTCTGTATTATAACATTGATATGCCTGTCTCTTCCTGAATCAGTAGTATATAGTTTTAATTTATGTAGTTTCATAATATGTTCAAGTATATGATAAGGCAATATATTAAATTTTTTTAAATGTTTATCTATTTTTAAATTTTTTTTTCAACGTTTATTTATTTTTGGGACAGAGAGAGACAGAGCATGAACGGGCGAGGGGCAGAGAGAGAGGGAGACACAGAATCGGAAGCAGGCTCCAGGCTCTGAGCCATCAGCCCAGAGCCCGACGCGGGGCTCGAACTCACGGACCGCGAGATCGTGACCTGGCTGAAGTCGGACGCTTAACCAACTGTGCCACCCAGGCGCCCCATGTTTATCTATTTTTGAAAGAGAAAGGGAGGGAGAGAGAGAGTGAGAGAGAGAGAAGCACAAATGGGGAAGAGGCAGAGAGAGGGAGACACAGAATCCGAAGCAGGCTCCAGGCTCTGAGCTGTCAGCACAGAATCTGACGCAGGGCTCAAACTCACAAACTGTGAGATCATGACCTGAGCGGAAGTCTGATGCTTAACCGACTGAGCCACCCAGGAGCCCTGGCAATCTATTTGAACATATTATATGCTGAACCCCATGAACCTTATTTTATGCTCTTTATAGTATTGAGTGTTCCCACCCAGGAACAGTTAGTCTCTATATCCATTCACATTTCCTTTTATGTTCTATACCAAGGTTTTCTTATTTTTAATTATTATTTAACATTTAAAAAATAGATTTAGACCTTTCTTATTAATTTTCTTCCTTACACTGACTTGTTCCTACAGTTAAAAGTTGAACTCTCACTACTTTGACCTTAAAGATAATGGAACCGAATCTCTGAAACCATTAGCATTTTAAGCAGTTCACATTTAAGTATGGAGGGTGTTTTGGATCACCATCCCTGCTATGAACAGTCATCTTAAACTGTGAAACTTATCACACTGAAAGTATTTTGACCCCCTGAACTCCATGACTATGCACAAGGTCATGGAGAGATCTAGATGGGCTTGGCATTTTCATACCAGAGAACTTGATGGAGTTTAAGAAGGATGTATCTTTTCTCCTAGAAAGGAATCCCAACTTACCAACTTCAGGGACACAGTCCTGAGGGTTACAAGATTCTTTCTCTTCTGGTTTCAACTGAGGGTCACAGAGATTGCTTAGGGTCATGTCATCTGACAGGCAGCGCACTTCCCGGACCCGGAAGCCACCCTGGCAGCTCTTGGAGCACTGCATGGCGACAAAAGGAGAGCGTTAAGAGATTTTTGACAGTCCATTAGCCTAGCACATTGGAGGCACAGATTTTGGAAGATTTGAAACATCTTCAAAAGGAAACCAAATACTAAAATAAACTCCCATGCGTCCAGCAGCATCAACAACCATCAACTCACAACCAATTATGTCCCAACTATACCCCAACCACATCCCCTGTACAACAGCATTTCTCAGAATGTCCGAGGATACCTGCATCCAACTCACCTAAGGAACTTGTTCAAAATGCAAAATACTTGGCTAGGGTGGAGCCAGAATCCGGTCTTTCCAAACAAAATGCTGGTTGATTCTTTTGCACACACTAAAACTGATGGGGCGCCTGGGTGGCTCAGTCAGTGAAGTGTCCGACTTCAGCTCAGGTCATGATCTCCTGGTTTGTGGGTTCAAGCCCTGCATTGGGCTCTGTGCTGACAGCTCAGAGCCTGGAGCCTGCTTCAGATTCTGTGTCTCCCTCTCTCTCTGCCCCTCCCCCACTTGCATTCTCTTTCTCTTTCAAAAATAAATAAACATTAAAAAAATTATTGGGGCGCCTGGGTGGCTCAATCAGTTAAGCGACCGACTCCGGCTCAGGTCATGATCTCACAGCTCGTGAGTTCGAGCCCCGCGTCGGGCTCTGTGCTGACAGCTCAGAGCCTGGAGCCTGCTTCGCATTCTGTGTCTCTCTGTCTCTCTGCCCCTAACCCACTTGCATTCTGTCTCTGTCTCTCTCAAAAATAAACAAACATTAAAAAAAAAATTAAAAAAAAAATAAAAATAAAAAAATTATTAAAAAATAAATAAGTCAAACTGAGAGTCACTGCGTTATGGCCTCTTCAGTTTAGAGATCAAGACGGTCCCAGCCTCTGGCTCCTCCCACCAAGCAGGCCCCAACAGCCACTGTCTAGAGTAGGTCACTGTAGGGAATCTACTCCAGGGCTGAGCCCAGTGCCTGCACACAGTAGGTGGTCTGGCTGTCTATGGGAGGAAAACAAAAGCGTGATGTACTAATGTGATGTCTATAAAGAGCACCATGACTTACCATGCTCCATTCTGTGCTAAACCATTTGGCCCCACAAGGCTTGAGGTGACACGACTGCCGGCTGGGGGGTCTTTCCAGGAAGGAACATTCATATGGGTCCAACACTTCAAAGGTGTCTACGTTCTTCCTAACACAAATCACCTCCCTCTGTTGGGTCCCGCTCCCACACTCGATGGAACACTGGAGAAAAATCAGAGAAGGATGGGTGTCACATGACAGAAAGGGGACGAGAACATCATGCGGTGTCTGTCTGAGTGCTTTTTATCATCAGTTCAGTGGGGTTGAGCCCAACGGCACCTGGAAAATATTACTGGACGAAAAGTTGCAGGTGGATTCCAATTTTCCTAACAGCTCTGTGTTTGGAATGGAGAGTAGGTGCCCTGGGTTATCACAGCGCCAGGACTGTGGTGCCCTCTGTGGTGAGACTGAAACGGTTTCTTTTAGACCACCTCTTTTATATAACCCCTCCCCAGGCACACAGGCAGGAACACATCAGCCTGTCAATTTGGTTGTCCCTGTCCAGTAGATTCTGACACTGCTCATTGTAAAACAACGAACCAACATTCTGATGGCTTTGCCAGGTCTCAGTGCGTGGATACTGGGAATGAAGTAGTCTCTTAGAGCCCACACACCTGTGGATGAAGGGCTAAATTAAAATTCTTCGGGATGCACGAACGTGAGAAGATCCAAGACTGGGGACAATGCCCCCTGTGGTCAACCCTCCCCTCCCAACAGGTGGCCAGCAGGAAGCTTTGACGTTGGAGTCCAAGCCTTTCACTTCCCACCTTGGTGGGAAGTGTGCAGGGGGTAGTCACACAAAGAGGGTGGTCAGACAATTACATGCGTTGGCGTATTTTGTTAGTTTCCACGAACACGATGCATATAACTGCTCACCAAGTATTCTATGTAAGTATCTGTTACTTTGTAAAATGTTTTCTGTTCACGTTTGGTTGACTCTTAACACTTCTTGATTACAAAAATTTTAAACTGTGATCTATATTCTTCTAGAGACTTTAAATAATCTACTACCTGTATAACAGCCTCTAATAATTTCTTCAGTTGAAACTCTTAACATTACCTTTACTGTCTGTATGCAGGAACATAATCGAATTAAAAAAAACGGGGGAAAACCCACACATATCTACAGAAAAAAAAGACAAACCCCAAACCAACAGACTATGAATTAAGCACACAGGACATCATAAGCATCACCCTCAGCAATTTCCCCTTTGTGCCCTTTTTTGGGTGGGCGGGGCATCCTCCTAAGACATCCAGAGAATACGTCTTCTTAGTTTGTTTTTCCTATTTTTTTTCCACGTTAGTTTATGATTGATTTGGAGTATATTCAGGTTTTGTCCTTTTCTTACAAATGCTGCAGACAATGACAGCACCAGAGGCAGGGGAGGAGTGACCAGGCTGCCAGGCAAAAGGTCTGGCCTCCCCTGCAGGAGGAGCGAGTGTGCGTGTTAAAGCAAGGGTGGAATAGGAGACATGGAAACTAGTCCAGACATCGTCACTAAACAGCTCTGTGACTTTAGCCAAGATATTGCACTTCCCCATGGCTCTACTGTCTCACTTGCAAAGTGGCGGTTTGGAAACCTAATCAGAAAGACTCCTCCCCGCCATGACTGCTCTGAGGGTCTGTGTCTGTACTGAGTGCTTGGCAGAATAGCAGAGTACAAACCTTGACCAAAACCTGAAGTTATTTGATGCTATTTTTAGAAAGTCCTTGAAGAGATTAGGCAATTAAGGGAGAATGAGTACATAGCTCAGCCTTCTACCCTCAATGCCCAGAAATGGCAGAATATTTGTGTTAGGAACAAGTGAATGTATGTGTGTATGGCAGGGGCGGGAGGGGGGTGATATACGTGTGCATGCAAGAAATAGCATTTGAAAACAGGAAAGGATACTCATCCTTGGTGGAACGGGAGTTATGGGGGATACTAGAAGGGTGAAAGGCAGCTGAGACTAAATTGAAGAAGCACATCATAGTTCAAAATGCACATGCAGGAGGATGCCTGGCAACGAGGAGAGTTCAGGTGCTTTGGGTGAGAAGGAATATGAGGAGCAGGAGAGAGGACTCAAGGCAGTGAGAGAGTGACCGCTAAGGTACTGACCAGGAACAGCTGGGCTGGCCTGACTGTGCCCGGGTGCCTGACAGTAAAGACATCTGCCCCTACTGTCAAAGGGCAAAGTGAAGGCATTCTCAGATTTTCAATGGCTCAGAAACTTACCACTCATGATCCTATTTGAAAGACTTACTGACTAACGGTCTCTAACCAGATAAAAAAGAACCTGGAAGAAGACACACCAGCAAGGACATAAAGCAGAAGTTGGCAAAAGCTGTTGTTAATAATGGATACAGGGGTTTCCAGGGATGACGAAGATGTTCTGGAATCAGACAGTGGTGGTGGCTATACAGTTTTGTGGATATACCAAAAACCACTGAATTGTATACTTTTAAAAGGGTGAATTCTGGGGCGCCTGGGTGGCTCCGTCAGTTGGGCGTCAGACTTCGGCTCAGGTCGTGATCTTGCAGTTGGTGATTTCGAGCCCCATGTCGGGGTCTGTGCTGACAGCTCAGAGCCTGGAGCCTGCTTTGGATTCTGTGTCTCCCTCGCTCTCTGCCCCTCCCCCGCTCATGCTCTGTCTCTCTGTCTCAAAAATAAATCAACATTAAAAAAATTTTTTTAAAGGGTGAATTTTATGGTATGTGAATTATATTTCAATAAAAAGATAACCTTTGGGTGGGAGAAAGCTATTTTTAAACCTAAATTTTCTTGATTTTCAGTATTTTCTATCAAATTAGTTAACATTAATATGGAGCTGGATCCAGATGATCTCAAGATCTTTTGGGAGCTATTGTGGATTGAGAAAGTGGAGATAAATAAATGAGGACTTAAGGTTTCTGTTTTCTTTTGGGGGAAGATGTAGTTATAGATAACACAGATAGAAACATAAAACTTTAAAACTGCTAAATATTTGAATGTTATTATCAAATGAATAAAAATAGAATTTATAACTTCCAAAATTAGAGGGAAAAATGGAATTAGAGAAACCTAATCCATGCAAATGTGCAGAAAGTTAAGAAGAAACAGACCCAGAAAACATGGCAATAACCTAAACAGGAAACATAAGTTAAGATGGCAGGGGAAAGTCCAAACATATAATTGATTGCAATAAATGTGAGTGGTTAAATTTTAACTCTTAAAAAAACAGAGACTTGCTTGGGGTGCTTAGGTGGCTCAGCTGGTTAAGTGTCTGACACTTGGTTTCAGCTTAGGTTGTGATCTCACTGTGAGATCCACTGTCAGCACGGAGCCTGCTTGGGATTCTCTCTCTTCCTGCCCCTCCCTCACTCCCTCTTGTTCTTTCTTAAAATAAATAAACATTAAAAACAACCCCAAACCACACCAAACCAAAACTACAGAGACTTGCAGACTGGGTAAAAATACAGTCTTGCCTACAAAACGCATACCTTGGAAAAGTACATAAGAAGATGACAAAAATGCACTAGGTGAAATTCGACAACGAGAAATGAGAGTAATGTAAATATCAGGTAAAATGTAATACATGGAGAAAAGCCTCGAAGAGCAAGTGGTATTTAACAGGGATAACTACTTCCACTGAGCAGTGGGAGCGATTATGTGTGTTTGTGCACCTGAAGAATTCCTGCAGCTGTACATTGGTGGATCACTGATCCAAGACCAGATGAGAGTGGAGATATCTGCTCAAGATGCCAGTGAAATCCAGACAGATAGGCAGACAAGAGGGCTGCTCTCAATGGCTAGAGACTGTGAAAGACCCCCCAGAACAAAGACAATGTGCAGGTGAAGTAAACCCAGAACTGGTGGGGAAGATAGGAAACATCTGTGATCCGTCTAGGCACTGACCTAGATACTGGTGGAATACCCTGAGTAAGAGTTGGGCTACTTTGGCTGCAGGTAGAAAAGAGACTCCTTAAGCTTGACAGGTCTCCTTCTCTTGGATTGGCTTTCTCCACAAGCCTCAACAAGGCCGCTGCTAGCACCCGTGCTCACGACTTCCCAGGTAGTCTCTTCCCCCAAAGCCCACACTAAAAGTCCCAGAGAAAAACTCTGCTTGGCTCGGCTTGGGTTACACGTCCACCCTGGACGATTCACTGTGACCAGGCTAGTGGGGTGTTCCAGATGCAACTATCGTTCAAACCACATGGATGGAAGCAACATTTATTTTTATTTTAGTTTCAACGAATAAGCATGCTCTACTTCATTTTCTCTGGGGACAGCATCAGATTCCCAGGGTATGGAGGTGCCCCCAGACTCCAACATCCTCATAAATCCAGAACGAAAACCTTGTCACATTCAGTCATGTCCTGACCCTTTTGGACAACAGGGCAATAAATTCTGTTTCTAATCCTGGCAGAAACAAACACTGCCTTCACCCAGATTCACATCACTCTCAGTTCTCTGAGTAGGTCAGGCATCAACAGGAGGCCTGCCAGGAAAAAGGACCCTGAGTCCTGCTCCCCTCTCATCTTGGGAGATTGGTAGACATTCGAGTTGAATTGTACTGCTCATCCTCACCATGTGAGGGCTGTTACAATTTCCCATAGGGCTCTTGCCGTTGCCTTGGTTTCTGTGGGTGCGTCGTATAATACAGCTCCTTCTGAATTATCTTTGGGATTCAGGTCCCACGCCCTCAGTGTGTTGCTATCAATAATGACACAGAAATAGCCGGCAGACAAAATCATAACCATGGGGAGAAGGGAACTACTATTTATTAGTTGGTATTCTTATCCTCATGTTTGGATGGGGAAACGGGCCCACAGAGGTTAAGCTGACTGCCCCGAGTTAGAAGAACTACAGAGAAATAGGGCTGGGGTCAGTTATCAGGTGTTATCTGCCTCTGATACCCACTCGGGTAGCACTAGAAGTACTTGGATTCTCTTTCTTTCCGAATTTTCTATATTTTACAGTTTGTATTATAAAAACATGAAAGGAAACTTGAGAAGAAAACATTTCCCCCTGTTGTTCATATAAAACCCCATTCTTTGAAGCGGCTGAGATGACATTCATGTGTTTTCATATTCTGGTTTTCACTTGCCACTATATCATGTGTACTTTCTACGTCTCCCTAATTGTCACTGTTATTGTTACATGATATTCTAATGAGTTATGATATACCATAATATCCCTATGTGCCCTGCTGTCATGAACACCTCTGTTAAAAATGCCTTTTTTGCCCCCCTTCTGGTAATTATTTTCTTAAAAAGAATCCCCAGAAGCAGAGTGACTGGTTAAGGCAAATGAACATTTTTATGGTTCTTGACTTTTATTGCCAAACTGCTTTCCAAGGGGGTTGTATCAGCTTACAAGGACGGGGCAGTCCATTTTTTCAGGGTCTGTTTTTAAGGATACTTAAAAGAAATAAAATTCTATATGGAGCCAGAGGTCCTGATAATGTATAAATCATGATCATCAGCCAAAAACGTCTTGGAGAACCAGCCAGCCCTGAGAGCCAAATGCTTAGGGGCCCAAGAACTCAAAGTACTAATGTTAATCATAATGGGGCAGTAAGAAGGAATGATCTTTTTTCCACATTTTCTTAGGGAGTCTGTGTTCAATTCTGGAACACTGAGGGGGGAAAATCAATTGATCATTTCAGTTGCTTTCTTAAAGTATTTGGTATTATCTGTTTTTTTTTTTTTAATTTTTTTTTTCAACGTTTATTTATTTTTGGGACAGAGAGAGACAGAGCATGAACGGGGGAGGGGCAGAGAGAGAGGGAGACACAGAATCGGAAACAGGCTCCAGGCTCTGAGCCATCAGCCCAGAGCCCGACGCGGGGCTCGAACTCACAGACTGCGAGATCGTGACCTGGCTGAAGTCGGACGCTTAACCGACTGCGCCACCCAGGTGCCCCAGTATTATCTGTTCTTTATAAGGAACAGCCTCAACTTTTTCTACATGAGCTTCTATTTTCTCCTGTTATTGAGACATAATTGACAACAATTGTAATATATTTAAAATGTACTCATGATGGTTTGATGTACATATGCATTGTGAAAGGATTCCCACAGTCAAGTTAATCAACCTCCATCGCCTCCCATATTTCTCTCTTTTGTGTGTGAGAACACTTATATTGTATCCTCTTAGCAAATTTTGACGATACGGCATTATCATTATCTTCATCGTGTTATACATTAGATCTTCAGAACTTTTTTTTTATCTTACAATTGAAAGTCTCTCTGTTTTACCCACCTTTCTCTATTTTCCCCACTCCACCCCCACCCCCAGACCCTGGCAGCCACCGTTCTGCTGTTTGTCCAAGTTCCAGGTTTTTTTTTCAGATCCCACATGTAAGTGACACCATGCAGTGTCTTTCTCTGTCTGGCCTATTTAATGTCCTTCAGGTCTACCTGTGTTGCAACAAAGGGCAGGATTTCCTTCTTTTTTATGGTTGAATAATATCTATACTACATCAGTTATATGTATTACATCTTCTTTACCCATCCACGTCTCAACAGACACTTAGGTTATTTCCAGATGTTGGCTACGGTGTATAATGCTTCTACGAACACAAAGGTGCAGGTATCTCTTCGAGACACTGATTTTGCTTCCTTTGCATATATCCCCACAGGTAGTATTGCCGGACCCTATCTATTTGTGCTTCTGACACTCAAATACAGAAATACAGACAAAACTGGCTTTACTGACGATAATAATGGCAGCGGCAGCTATAATGTAGAGTGTATTTGTTGTATGGCAAGCAAATGCGCTGCATTCTTTATATACATTTCCTTCTTCATTTCTTCTAAAAATAACCTCGTACAGTGCGGTCATTAGCAGCATTTTATAGACAAAGAAACCATGCTAGACCATACTCTCCTGAGGGCGGGGATATTTGTTTTGTTCATTGATGTAATTCATGTGCTTAGAAGAGCACACAGTAGGAGCTCAAGAAACACTGTTGACTGAATGCAGCTCCAAGAGCATAAGTAGCCTCTCCAGGGTCACGGGCAGCACTGCTGAGATTCAAGCCCAGGATGCCTGGGCTACTCCCATTCCTGGTTCCTGACCCCTCTGCTATGGATGCTCTTATCAGAGACAGACAAACACAGCCAGTTCTGGCCACTCACCTGGCTCCAGCTCCCCGCAAACCACTCCACCTTGCCCGTGCAGGGCCCATTGTCACACGGGGTGGCCTCCGCTGGCCGGTTGTTCCCACAGCCCTCCAGGGGCAGGCTGCTGACGTGGTTGGTCATGCACACCACTGAGCGTGTCCGCACTCCAGCCCCACACTCTGCTGAGCACTGAGAGACAGGAGATAGTTCCATTAGAGGGGACACCCCTACAGGCTCGGAAACCACTTTCAAATGATGTGAAGGAGAACTGAACATCTCATTTCCCTACCAACTCTTTCCCTTCGGAGTCTCTGATCACTTTTCCCGCATAGCCTACTCCATTATGGAGTACCAGTATGGCAACCCCGCCCCCCCATCTTAGATTTTCTGGGACAGTCTTCTTTCCAAATATCCTGTCCCACTATTGCGATTCATACGCTTACACACTTGTCAGACTGCCTGTCTTGGCTTTTGCTTTTGAAAACACATCCAGTAGCAGAAGAATGAGACCATCAACACTTGGGCCTCTGTCTACCTGCTGGTCGCCGACGTTGGGCTAGTCTGGGGACACTGGGGAAGTGAAGTCTGCCACCTCATCATTGCCACCTGCTCTTAAGTCCCTGAAGGCCGCAGCTGTGACAGTGTTAGGAGACAGCTTGGTATAGAGGGAGAGCTTGGCCCGGGAACCAGACATATCGATGTTAATACGTCTACTAGCTGGGTGGCCTGGGGCAAGTGACCCAGCCCCTCACGTGTTTGGCATACTCACCTGGACAGCTGGCATAGGACAGGTAACGAATGATGTGCTCTGCGTACAGCAGATGTCCAAAAAATGGTATAAGGGGCTTTAAAGGGTCAAGTCCTATATCTCCACTCTAAAATAGAGAAACTGAGGCAAGGTCTTCACTTACAGCCACAGAACCACCAGTGATTTGTCTCCTATAATCACACTGTTCTCATCTAGTGCCTAGTAAACACATTCCTGAGCCATACCCTAAAGCTCAAAGAGCGTTCTCCATCTGTCTTGAAATACTTTGGAATGCTGCCTTATTTTGCGTCTCATCCTGTACATGCAGACATTTTCTGGACCTCTTTGTCTGAGTGTTCCCCAGATACCTCATGTCCAGCATGTAAAATAATGGAACCCTGCCTTCACCACCAACCCCATTGCTACTCTTGGTTTTCCAAGTTGTGCTCAAATTTCTACCAGGATTCAAAAGTTGACTGTTCTTCTGAGTTCTTGCTTCCAACATTCAGCCAACGATCAGGTCTCACAGATTCTGGTTTGACCACATTTTTTCCTTTCTGCCCATGGCTCCCAGCACTACTAATGCTCTTCCCCTGGACTGTGGTCACAGCCTGTTACTCAGCCTCATCACCCTTTCTAATTTGTTGGGCTTCCAGGTGTTGGGACTGCCATGCTGAAAGTCCCCCCAATGCCATCCCATTCCAACATGGATTTCCCCACCTGACATCAAAGCTTTTCTAGAAGATGACCTCAGTCAACCTCAGCCAACCTCAGTCTTCTAGGCTAACTCACCATTATTCTATCCCACACACCTCATGCTGGACAGAGCCAGGGTCCTCCATTTGCCATCGCATGAAGGGCTCACTGGACCTTGGCCATGCTGTTCCTTCTATCTACCTAGAGCGCTCTTCGCCTTCCTCAGGACACACCAAAATCTGTTAAGGCTCAGCTCAGATGCCAGTGAAAACTCCCTGCATTGCCTGATTCAATACTCTCTTTCCAGCCTCAGGATTCTCAAGGCACTCTGCATTCTACCGTCTTCCTCTACTGTTACTTATGTCCTACTTTGCTTTATTCTTTCCTTTATAGAAGTAGGCTCAGTGAAGGAAAGGACTATGGAATCATCTTTAGTTCCTTCTCAGGTCAGCACCTAACTTATGGGCAAATCCATGAATATCAGTTGAAGAAATGAATACAGACTTGGGTCTTCCTTGCTCATTTCTCTTCTGTAACCAGCACCTTCCAACCCTGAAAGTGGCCCTTCAGAGCTCAACCAAAGCCTGTTCTAACAGTTTCTTCCCTTAAAAACAGAAGGGAAATTTGTTTCACTAATGTTACTGTTTCAAAAAAATAAGCAAAAGCGATGTGATTTAGAAAAAATTTGAGGAAAGAAAAAAATACAACCCTGTTTCCTTATCAAAATATTCATTTTCTTTTTTTGTACATTGCTGTCTAGTCTTGCAAAATCACAGCCCAGGATGAATAATCAAACATTTATATGACCACTGCTGGGCTGGGCCTGACTCCTCAGGGAGGAAACTCTTTGTAGCTTGAAGGGGATTAGAATATGCCACCCCATAATATGCTGCTTTGACCTATTTTTAATTGAAGGTGATTGAGAAACATCAGATCCAGGAAGGGCTCTCTGCCTTCCCCCTTCCTGCCTAAAAGCAGTGCATAAGTTTCCTGTGAGAAATTTCGGCCTAGAACCAGGAAGAAAACATTTTTTGTTTTTGAGGGAGGGTACAGAGACAGAGGGAGAGAAAAAGTCTTAGCCAGTCTCTATGCCCAATGTGGGGCCCAACGAGGGGCTCGATCTCATGATCCTGAGCCGAAACCAAAAGTCAACACCCAATCGACTGAGCCACCCAGGTGACCTAAAGAGAACATTTTTATAATTGCCATTGCGGAGCTAATGCCAAGAGGAATGTAGACAGACTTTACTAAAATAACTCTAATCCTCCATTAGTTTCCCCCATATATAGACAAACTTAACTAAAATAACTCTTATCTTCCATTAGTTTCTCCCATATATTTCTCAGCCACTTTCCTACAATTTACTGTCCTGGAAGCCCCAACGCCTTTCCTTGGTCTAGTCACTTCTTCAAAATTTACCACTCTTTGTTAAAATGGTATATAAGCCCTCAAGTCTAGCTGCTTCTTTGGGATTTTCACTTCTTTCTTATTAAGCTCCTTGTGCCATGTAAAAAAAAAATTAACATTAAATAAAATTTGTTGGCTTTTCTCTTGTTAACCTGGCATTTGTTAGTTTAATTTGCAGGCCTCCATTGCAGAACTCAAGAGGGTAGAGGAAAAGAGCCTCTCCTACAGGCTCACAAATGCTTTGCATGACTTCTACTCTATCTGCACTGTTACTGGGAATTTGAGCTAATGAGTCAGTCCTTTTTACAAAAAAGAAAATCTTTTCTTAGAGTAATTGGAATATTCTAGGCGAAAGGGTTTTTTTTATTTGTTTGTTTGTTTCAGCTGTATATTATCTGGTCTCTTTCTTAGCTTCAAACACTCAAGATAGTTAAATCCTCCTGAAGAATACAAGGTGAATTGAATCTAAGTTATCTTCCTGTTTCAAACCCTAAGAATATTTCTTTCCATGTAGCTTCCATTTGACCTACTAACTTAATTTCTGCTTTCCAAACCAAGTCATATACACGCATCTGGGAAAATGTCCTCAGACCCCCATGTGCTGAATTTTAAAGAAGAATGTTACGGGTCGAGCCAAGTACCCAATGAGAGAACATTACAGGGATGAACCATGTAGAGGAGCTTGACTTTAGCATACAACCGCAGCGAAAAGCACAACACATTTCAACTTGAAAGTAGCTACCCACCCCAAACCTGGCTCAGGAAGTCTCTCAGCAGGAATCAGGGGGAACCATGGATCTCTACCAGGAAGCACAGACCACCCTTCAACTTGAGGCACCGAAACACACCCACTCACTGTCCCTGAAGGATGTGCCTAAAAGGGCCAGATCCTCTTGGTAGTCAGAAAAGGACCTGACTCCTAACTGAACCTCTGGGCCGATAAAACACTGAGAGGCATCATGAAATGCCTAAGCAGCCCTGTGGTGAGGACTGTCCTCTCTCTCCAGCTACAGCCAAAATGCTAAACTTGGCCCAACTGGGGCTTGAGGGACTAAGAGGCCATAATGGCTATTCCTGAACTTCAGGTTCCTGTATCATCTTCTGTAATTAACAAAAAGCTCAATGTTTTGTTTCTTCTCTTGGAAAATATCCTTAAGATATGAGGGTGGTGGACTTAAAAAAGTTAAAAAAAAATTTTTTAAACGTTTATTTATTATTGAGAGACAGAGAGAGACAGAGCGTGAGCAGGGGAGGGGCAGAGAGAGAGCGAGACACAGAATCTGAAGCAGGCTCCAGGCTCCGAGCTGTCAGCACAGAGCCCAATGCGGGGCTCGAACCCATGAACCGTGAGTTCATGACCTGAGCTGAAATCGGATGCTCAACCGACTGAGCCACCCAGGCGCCTCCCCCCAATTTTTTTTCTGTTGTGACTAAATATTGCACGTGTGTTTAAACTTGTCACTAAAGTTTATTTTTTGAATTAAAAAGTCAATGATGCCGATGTCTCATAAGGTCCACCCTCAATTAAAAGGAGCTGCAAGGATATTTTTAAGGTGAGTCAGTGAGTCAGAAAAACTATATATCCCTGGAAGTTTAAGAGAAGATTCAGATGTGAATTTACAACCTCAATTCAATCAGGTAGAGATTAATTAACTTTATTTGCAATCGGGCAATAGGATGTGTTCTGGATCCTTTAAGTGTTTGTAAACTTCACTCACACTTTGTCTGATCTCTCCCACTTGAGCTAATTAAATGGAAGCTGGATCTCATTCATGCCTGGCATTATTAAGTGCTCAACACATGTTTCTTCCAGTTGCAAAAAAAAATTGCGTGGTTGAGACTACAGCTCAACATGGTTGATTTTGAGACAAAGCCACTACTTACATGTGAAAGACTGCCACCAGCTGGTCATTCCTGGGGTCTGACCCTTTTTGTGAGGCTAAGTCGTGACTCAAAAGCCCACTCCAAGGTCCCAGTCTCATCTAGGTCATGGTTTCGAATATGTTACCCCTTAATGCTCATTCAGCAACGTTACCAATGAGGAAACTGAGGGTCAGAGAGCGGCTTACTCAAGGTATAATGAGAAATAAGCCCTTGGGGGAAGTGATGCCACAGCCAATGCACTTTCCCTAAAGCCACCTGCACCCCCTTCCCACTCATCTATTCCAAGCACAAACATTCAGGAATAATGACACGTTCTAAGGGTAGATAAACCAAATTTCTTACAACACAGGACTAAACTCACATGGCTTAAAACATCTTTCCAAAAAAAAGTTCTCCTAACAGAAGAATGAAGTGGTCACCCCTTCCTCCATTTAGAATTTTAAGGCATGAGTTAGATCCATCAAGTACTTATGTTAAAATGCAAAGTAAATTTACATTAGAGGGAAATTTACAAGTCTTTTTTGGAAGGGAAATAAAGAATAGGGGTCGATTCAGTTATAGTAGACAAACAATAGCTGAGTCTAATTAAAAGTCATGCTTTAAAGGTTTCTAATGCCATCAACATGTTTATAATTAATACATACGTGAAAAAGGAAGGCTACCAAATTATACATGTGTAGTATTATGATTTGTATCCTTCAAATATGAAAGAGTACAAAAGAGATATGTATAAAGGGCGCCTGGGTGGCTCAGTTGGTTAAGCTTCTGACTCTTGATTTCAGTTCAGGTCATGATCTCACGGCTGTGAGACTGAGCCCTGTGTCGAGCTCTATGCTGAGCGTGGAACCTGCTTAAGATTCTCTCTCTTTCTCTCTCTCTCTCTCTCTCAAAAAAGAAAATTTTCTCTTTTTTCCCCTCTCCCCTGCTTGCATCTTCTTTCTCTCTCTCTCTCTCTGAAAAAAAAAAAAAAAAAAAAAGCTATGTATGTAAGGTATGTATGAGTAGGAAAAAGCTTGACAGTAGCTTTTTTTTAAGCTTACAAATCTTAAATTATTATCTGCTAGTGAAGAGATTATTGGTATACTTTTCTGATTTTTTTCATATTTTTATAATAGTATATGTTACTATATTACCAGAAAAAGTGAATGTTATTATTTTTTGTCCATAATTACATTAGCTCTTTAATTGGAAATACATATTATTTTTTTAAAGTTTATTTATTTTTGAGAGAGAGAGAGCCCACATGTGTGAGCGGGGGAGGGGCAGAGAGAGAGGGAGAGAGAGAATCCCAAGCAGGCTCCACACTGTCCGTGAAGAGCCCGACATGGGGCTCAATCCCACAAACCTTGAGATCATGGCTTGAGGTGAAATCAAGAGTCAGATGCTCTGCTGACTGAGCCACCCAGATGCCCTGGAAATCCATATAATTTAAGTGAAAAACTCTGTGAGAGAAAATGTTTGCAAATGCACATTAAAAAAGCAGAAAATGGCATTTTTACTATTTTATTAAGTGGAGGGAAGTTATTAAGTGTGTAGTCATATAAGAACTTTGATTAAGGGGCGCCTGGGTGGCGCTCTTTCTCTCTCTCAAAACAAATAAGTGAACATTAAAAAAGGAACGATGATTAAATATTTTAGAATAAATATTTGAAAGGCATTAGAAACTCAGTTGTCTTGCATTGCCTATCTTTGCATATAGCCTATTATTAACTACATTGTTTTCTGTAAATAATTTTCTTTGCATTCTAGAATAATGATTGATCAAGATGAAGCATTTCCTGAGAAAATAATTTCAGCTATTTTAGCCTTTACACAAGCATTCTGAAACTTTCATTTGCTCTAGGGAATGTGAACCTTCAGAAAAATTTCTAAGTTTCTAGTCTGTTTGGACATACAAGTCATTGGATATTCATAGAAGAACTTATTACCTTGAGCACTGCATATTCTTCATGAGGTTACATACAATGGATTAAGGATTAAAAGGGTTTAAGTGCTCCAGACTTCAAGCTATTTTGTTCCTTTGTTTCATAACTTAAATTGGTATCATAAATTCTGTGTTTGTATCATAAATTTTTATATTATAGGACACCGATATTTTAGCTGAAGGTTTTATGTATATTTGACAAAAATTATTTTCATCTAATGTTATTAAAAAATTTTTTTTCAAGTTTATTTATTTATTTTGAGACAGAGACAATGTGAGTAGGGGAGGGGCAGAGAGAGAGGAAGAGAGAGAGAGAGAGAGAGAGAGAGAGAGAGAGACAGAAACCTAAGCAGGCTCCTAGCTGTCAGTGCACAGCCGGATGTGGGGCTTGAACTCACGAAACCGTGAGATCATGACCTGAGCTGAAACTGAGTCAGATGCTTAACCGACTGAGCCACCCAGGTGCCCCATCCAACATTATTTTAAAAAGTCTTCCCTACAGAAAAATGAAAGCCCAGCGTCATTCTTTTTATTCATCTGCTTGTGCACTAAATTTGCCCAGTTTACTCTGAACACAAAGGAGTTCTGGGATGGCTAGAAATCCAATAGTAAATTCACTATTTAATATTCATTGGGGTGCAAAGGAGAACTAATATTCTTTCACACCCAGTGCTCCCTCTCGGAGCCCCTCCGTCTTCCTATAAGGATAGAAAGCCTGCGAGAGGTCGTCTCTGGGCCTTTTCCCCAAAGTCAGAAATTACCCTCGTAATTTTTAGTAATCCTAGTAATTTCTAGTAAGTCTAGTAACTTGTAGTAAGTCTGGTGGTTTCTAGTAAGTCTAGTAATTTCTCGCGGGCGATTTGTCTTGGTGGTGTTGGGGCGCCCGGTAACACGTGGACCCTGGGCCCGGCTCCAGAACCCAGTGTGCGACCGCCATGCTCACCCTTTCCCCCCACTCGGTGAGGAACCAGCTCTTCGCGCAGGGCCCCATGTCGCAATTCTCAATGTCGTTGGGCCGCAGCTTCATGTTGCACTCCTCATCATCAACCACGTCCCCGATGTTGCTCACACACTTCACGTCTCGAGTCCTCTGTCCCACCCCACAGGGCACTGAGCACTAAAACACAGCAAGATCACGTCAGTGGAATGGGTGGTGTTACCTCCGGGGGCCTCTCTAGCTGTGGTGCCCTCATCCTGGTCACCTGCCACCTGAGCAGGGGACCCACTGTGTGGCTGAGTTCCTCTTTCCCCCTCCCCCGCCCCGCAGTGCTGTCCCAGGGGAGGGGGATCCCAGCCCCGAACACTTCACAAGTCTTTTCCCTAAGACCTTCTCCTTAGTAGGATGTCCTGCCTACTCTGCTGCTCTGGGCCTCAGTTCTGTCATCTGTAAAACAGGGGTGCAAGAGGGGAAGGACCTGGCTTCTCATGACACGCGAGAGCGAGGAGACGCGTATGCACGTGACTCGCGTGGGTTCACCCTTCAGGTTGGCCGTGGGTGGCGGGAACACTCTCCCAAGCCATGGGTCTATTCTGTGGGTTGCACAAAAGGCCTTCCGGAAGCACTGGGACGGGTTCCCTCCAGGAGACCTCAGGGCTGTCCTGATAGGTCTGGGGTGGGGGCGGGGCGGTGGGGTGGGGGTGGGGAGGCAGTGAGCGCTGCAGGGGGAGCTCTGGAGCGGCGCCCCGCCCCGCCCCGCCTACCGAGGTCCAGTCTGTCCGGATCTGCCACTCGCTGCAGATCTTGAGCTGGCAGGTGCTGGTGGTCTCGGGCTTCTCCAGGTGCTGGCAGCGGTAGGGCTGCACCGTCAGGCTGCGGTTGGCATACACCTGGCGGCACAGAACCTGGCGATGCTGCATGCCCAGGCCGCAGGTCTTGCTGCACTCAGACCACTCTCCGATGTCCCAGCTAGCTCGGGAATGACAGAGAGCGACAGGGACGGGTCAGCGTCGGTCCGCAAGAAGACAGCCAGACCCCGCCCGAGCCAGCCTGCACGGAACCGTCAGAATCCTTCCGGGTGAGGCTCGTCCTAGAGCATTCTTAATGGTCGGCCCAAGGGCCATCGGGCTCCGTAAAGGAAAGTAACCCACTTTGGAACTTAGAAATCTTATTCCAGTATTCCTTTTTTTTTTTTTTTTTCCTAATTACTTGTCAGTTTCACAATCCTCTCCTGTCCCCTTGCTTTGTCATTCAGTTAAATAAGACATGGGGCGGGGCGCCTGGGTGGCTCAGTCGGTTAAGCGGGCGACTTCGGCTCAGGTCATGATCTCACGGTTCGTGAGTTCGAGCCCCGCGTCGGGCTCTGAGCCGTCAGCACAGAGCCCGGAGCCTGTTTCAGATTCTGTGTCTCCCTCTCAGATCTCTCTGACCCTCCCCCATTCATGCTCTGTCTCTCTCTGTCTCAAAAGTAAATAAACGCTAAAAAAAAAATAAAAAAAAAATAAGACATGGGCGCATGCTCATTACCTATGAGAATGTATCTGTTACTTTGAAGATTACGTTTGGACCCTTCTTAGGGCCCTTCCCCTGTCCTTCCTTCTGCAAGTGTCCTATTTATCATTCAATAGCCAGCCCCGACCTCTCCTGAGACTCTTTACCCGACTCCTCCTGGCTGCTGTCTTTGTGACTCACATTATTCTGTGTACACAGCCCACCTACCACACTGACCACGCTGGACTGTAATTCTCTGCTTCCTTCTCTCCTTTCCTTGCCAGGCTAAAACGTAATTGCTCCTGATTACCAAAGGCTGGCTGGTCAGGGCTGCAAGTTAACTGTGTGCATCCCGAGACAGGTGCGCGTGTTGAACAGCCTGCAGCTTATGCACAGACCAAATCTCATGTTCCTAAATCAGATGTACACAGATTTAAAAACCGGATTGTATCTGCGACTGAGGTCCTATGCACGAGCAAGCAGAAGTGACCCGACAAAAGGCCACCCGCACCGAGAGGCCATCTTACAAGGCTGGGCAAGGGAAGATGTTGCAGGGTTCCTCCTCGGGGGTCGGCTTCATGCTGGAGTCACAGTAGCTCTCGGGAACCTCTTCGTGGGTGTTTCTGTGTACACAGCGAAAAATCGGGAACTGCGATCCTGCAAACACAAGAAGAACTTCTGAGGGACCGTCCCGCACACTTGAATGGTGGACTCTGGTGGAGATGCGCAGAGATACCCAGGTACCGATGAAGAGAGGCCACAGAAACGGAACAATCCATACGCACACACACGGGCCGCCAGGCACTGTGGGTGCAAAGAAGGGTAGGAATAGTCACTGCCCTCGGAGAGCTTACGATCTCTTTGCGGACACGGCTGCTAGAGGCAGGCAAAAATAGTTTTTGTAACAGTTCAAGATAGCACTAGGCAGGAGAGAGATTGTGAGCACTAGTAATAACCGTTTGCAGGTTTTCTGGAGACATCACAGAGAAAGGGTCCCAGAAGCCCCAGCTGGATCCTAGAGAACGGTTGGGTTTGGGCAGCTGTGTGCACATGTGTCTTGGAGGGAGGGGGCCGTCCAGGCAGCTGAACGTGTGCCTGTATGATGAAGAGGCAGGCTGATGCAGAGAAGTAGGAAGATTTAAGACAGGCTAGAGGAGCAGCTGGCTTCCCCTTTGTAAAGCATCTCACACATTCCCCGAATAAAGTACTGATCCAATGGTATTTTTAGGTATTTGAGTGGATGTCTGCTTCCCATGAGACAGTGAGCTTCTCAGAGACAGAACTCATTCTTGTCCATCCCTGTAATCCCAGTACCTAGCAGAATAACAGCTGCTCAATAAAAATGCTGAATGGCTACTTATCAGAGATCTAATATTTGTTTTTATTACTTTGCTACAAAAAATCATACTAACTTCCTCGGGGTTTTTGTTGTTGTTTTTTGTTTTGTTTTAAACACTTTTTAAAAAAAGTTTTTATTTATTTTGAGAGAGAGGGAGAGAGAGAGAGAGAGAGAGAGAGAGAGAAGGGGAGAGGCAGAGAGAGAGAATTCCAAGTGGGATCTGCACTGTCACTGACTCACCGAGCCAGACTCGGGGCTCAGAGTCACAAACTGTGAGATCATGACCCGAGCTGCAACCAGGAGCCAGACGCTCAACCGACTGAGCCACCCAGACGCCCCTGTTGTTTTGTGTTAAATACACAGCGGAGTTTCACTGGCTTCATGAGATAAATCTGTCTTGGAGAGAAAGTCAGAATTTGTTAAGTGAGATCTGTCGCTTTCAAAAAAAGCCCTTTCCATTCTGCCTTCCTCTCTCTGCTGCTCCCTGGTGGCAGCTCTGGAGTATTACTAGTGAAGGTGTACAAAGAGAAATGTCATCAGGCCAACCAACGGTCTGAAAAATAAGTTGCTTCTTCACAAATAATTGCCTGTCCCCGCAGCCAACCCCCAGTCGAGGCCACTACACAATTCCTGCTGGGCAGAACACTATCACTTATTCTACAGCTCTGTCTTAGCTCTGTTGCTAACTGGCCAGGCGTTCAGAGTTTCTGAACTTCCAACTTGCTACAATTTAATTGAACCTGGAGGGATAACTTTTAACATAAAGGTCGCAATATTTCATCAGCCATGAAAAGTGTGTCAATGCTTGTTTCAGCTGATCTTGTGTGATGATCGAGCCAGAGGGAAGTTCTCGTAAGAAACTCGACAGTTTGTAAGACAGTTCTGAATCTGAAATGGTCATGTGTTTCAAAACCACTCTGCTAGTAAAAATTTCTAAGGCGGCTATTCCTTGAGACCATTATTTAAAGTCATGTCTCAATTAAGTATAATTGTTAGCTGAGTAAAAAAGCAGTACTGACTTTTCCCTTAAATTAATTTAATTAATAGGAAGCAAACAATTTTTGTGGAGTTGAGTTTTGTCTAGTGACATACCTGCTTCCTTTAAGAAGAGATTTTTAATTAAATTCAACGAACATGAAGCACATCGTGCTCACTTCACAAAGATGAATAAGATTCCATTCATGCCTTGCAGGGTATCCTTTTGGGACCCAGCTATTAAGGGATTCAGTAAAAATCTTATTATTTATCCCTTTGGGCCATGTGGGTCTAACTTTTCTGCTAGCAAGTTTGTGAACTGGAAAGCAAAAGTAACTATTCCAACCACATGGCACGCAAATGAGGGGGCAGTTTAATATCTTCAGCTAAAAGGATGCAGGTAACCATAGCAATGCTCTGTGCCTCGGAGAGATGGGTTCTGCTTAGGGCTGTTAGCACATGGCCACTGCCTGCCTCCCCCAACCCCTTACGGCCTTTACAGAGCACTTGTCCACCATTCAGCTCCCGTGTTCAGTCAAGGACATGGGTTCAGAGGCTCTCTCTCTGATGGTGAGAAGGCACCAGAGCTCTAGCGACTCCAGTGACCACAATGGTTTCTTTCTTTGTTGATCTCCGCAGAGAGGGGGACTGTCACTCAAAATGGCACCTGGCCATCTCTTCACTGTACAGCGTGCCATTCAATTATGCCTCTAATTGCTGGCAAGCAAGAATGGGGTGGTGAGGTCAGGTGCTGGCTGGGCTTCAGGCAGCAGGGAAAATCCGGGATCGTCTTAGTTGGGTTTTGTGTTGTGCGTGTTGATCAAAACAGGACTCTGTTATCCTGGAGGAGGGGACAGTGCCGCAGGTAATCCAAAATGAGTAACTGAGGCAAGTCAGTGAATTCAGGGGACGGTATATAGAGGCCGGTGAGGCACTGTGGAGAGAGGGACAAAATACGGAGCAAGAAAAAAATTAAATCACCCTAGTCTTGGTACCCTAGGAATCAATGGGGCCAAGCCAAAATTTTGACCAGAGCTCTGGGCAAAATGCTGGATGGAGTACAAGCCATCTGGGATGCTCGGGGCGGGGCCCCTCTCTGTGATGGTGATATCGTGATGCTGAAAGCATTTCCCCAAAAGGGAGGTTTTCAGACGAGACGTATGGAAACGTGTGGCCTGGTGAGCTCCACCAGGACTGGAGGAGGTCTGTGTAGGGACAAGTGGTGAGGTTGCAGGGGGTGTGGATTTGTGTTGTGCATAAAAGAGCTGGGCGGCACCAGTAGGCTCAGAAGGTCCTGGTCCCAGCACATCTGTCACTACTGCTGAGCAAAACACTGCCGCATCCACGCTGCCTCGTCTGTCCTGCAGGTGTGGCCGCTGCTGCCGGGAGCAAACCTTCCAGGGAGCCAAGGGAGGGGCACCCCCGGCTGCTGCCATTTGTCACGAGGGAGAGCAAAGGGGCTGGGAGTACAAGTTGCGGGGGTGGGGGACAGTACATCTCTGCTCTTGTTTGATTTCCAAGGCACGTCTTCCGTGTCTCTTTGACTGGACAAGCCGTGCTGTTTATCAGGGTAAAGAAGAGAATGCACACGTCATCCTGGGCATCTGAGGGGCAGATGACGTGTGTATATGTGTGTGTGGGTCCACAATGCAAAAGAGAAAGACTCTATTAAGGACGTTAAACAAGATAATATGGAAATCTAGAGAAAAAGATTCTTCAGTTTCGAATACATAAATCCACGCTCTTTCAGCTACGGATAAAACACAAGTAAGGCAACACTAGCCTTGCGTATCTAAGATATAATGAAGATGTAAAAGCCACTCTTACACGCTTTCTAAAAGCTGTCTACACCCCACTTGAGATGTGGTGACAATATATTCGGTAATTCAAGAATCACCTGAGGGGTGCCCCCGTGCGTGCTTGGTACGATCCCAGGTGCAGGCAACGCAAAGTGTGTGTACATGCGGGGGGACCGCTAGGCCACACGGAGCTGGGACAAAAATGTGTCCCGAATTGCCGGGAGGTCCCGTGGAATAAGTGGGACCTTGCAGAATTGGGAAGGGCTTCCCAGAGGAGATGTATCTGTGCTCATTCAGCAGGTCTGAACAGTTTGCTGGCTCCATACCAGAGAATAATAAGGGAGGCAGATTTTTTATCTCCGTGCGGATCACACAGACTGGGGTTGGCTGGGGGGAAGATAACCAGAATCTTTTGAGATGGGGTGCCTCCATCATGCCTGGTAGAGAGCAGATAAGAGACCTGTTGATTGAATGACCACCAGGGTAAGTGGCATCTATTCAGTGAACACAGGACCGTGTGAGCAGCATGAAGGGGCAGCTGGCAAATGGCACAGCTATGTCCTTATCCTATTAAGTCCCCAAGGCAAAACCGAAAGGTCTCTGGACAAGGCTACATCTCACCCTCCTGGAAAGGCTGGGCCAGGCGATCTTTACGGACGTGAAAGGGAAGAGAATCTCCCATACGTGCCATCCTTGATATAAAACCACATGACAACAATTTTTATTTTTATAACTTTCCCTCGTTTTTACCCAGCACAAATGTAAGCAGTTCCTCTAGTGGGCACCATACCACTAGCTACAGAGTATTCGGTAAGAACACATTTGGACCCTGGGTTCCTACGTCACCTGCATTTTGTACTGCTCACCTCTTCAGATTCATGGATGGGTCCTCACTAAAGTGGTTTTGGCCTTAACGTGTAATCATCTCTAGCCTTCTGCCTCTGTTAAGACACATTCTATAGGCATTTCATTTTTCCTCACAGAGCTTGAAAAAGAGGTTAGCCCGGCGAATCTCCAGTCCACGTTCTTTGCACATCAACTAAGTAAAAGCACGATAAAACCTGCACAATATCAGCTCCATAAATCAGTTCTCTGGTTGTCGGTCATCATGGGACTGGTGGGGTTCCAGGTGGGAGGGGCTCCAGCTCCCGTGAAGAACACCCAAATCCCACTCTCAAAAGCCACTAAGCCAACGTGCTTGGGAACAAGATAAAGGCTTTGAGGCGGTGGTGAAAGGCTTTTCCATGCACAAATTCTGTCAAAGTGTCCGGATTTTGTGCCTTCCGGTACAAGCCTCTTGAAGAAAAGAGGAAAAAAAAAAAAAAAGTCCCCAAACCAATATTCTCACTGTGTCAGTTTCCTGTCCGCAGAAACTTTCTGAGATACAGTCTCCCCGTTTCTGTGGTAACCTCCCCTCAAAGCACAGCTCTTCCAGGGTCACCAACAGGACTTCATTACAAACAGAAGGGTGTTATTATGCATTTGGTATCCCTGCATCACAGTTCCTGGATGGTCACAGGCAAATCCTTGCCCTGGGGACCTAGGCCACCTTGAAACTGGGAAACAGCATTCATTTCCAACCAGGTGCCACAGGTTTGAGAAGGGGTTTCTGGATACCACATTCCACATCTACCTTAGCTTTGGGGCTTTCCAGGAAACAGGGCCCTGGATCGCCTTCACAGTTCAGACCGAGACTGATACTGACCCGCTCGCACACAGCCACGCTTTGTTTTGAGCCTATCACGACCAGCTTTACGTAAATTTCACCTGCACACCATCCACTCTTCTCCCCAGTCCTGTAACTCTTCTCTTTTCTTTGGTTTAGGGAGATGCCCCGTGTGCCCTCTGGTGTGCGGTCTCCCTTCCTGCCAGGAGTCCACAGAGCTGGTGACGTTGGGCTGCAGGCTTGTCCCTGGGGTCTCAGCCCATGGGGTCGGGATAATGGGATGATACAGCATGAGGGTTTTACAGAAAGGAGAGAGCTGTGAGTGCTGGTGAGCCTAAAAGCCAGCTAACACCTCAAGCCCAGTCGGCATGCTTTTTTCTGGAATCTCAGATGTGAGAATGAGTTTTGTCTGGTATTTGTGTGACCTTACACCTTGTGAGCACATTCTGTGGCCATTAATGAGTGTGGCATGCGGGAGAGGGTTAACTCAGGGTGCTCAGACCCTGCACACTCCAAAGAAAGGCCCATCTTCAGGACCGGCCCCTTGAGCCCGTGGAATATCCGGCTGACAGGGGTGTTTCTCTATGTCTTGGGACCACGCTGTATCAGCGTGACAAGAGAGTTTATGCCAACAATGCGATTTGGGTGAGTGCCTGTTTTTCTGTGCCTGAGGTCTCGGGCCATGTCCTGTCTCTCAGTTTGACTTCTGGGTGCCAATGTCGGGAACGTGGGGGCTACGTGCCTATGCGACTGAGCCACAATAAGCCCCCTGGACACCAAAGCTCGAGGGGCTTCTCCGGTTGGCATTACTTGGCTCCTGCGGTCGCCCCTCATTGCTGGGAGAATTCAGTGCATCCATATGCAACTGTCTTGGGAAGGGACACCTGGAAGCTGGCCCCTGGTTTCTCCCGGACCTGGCCACACCCGCGTTTTCCCTCCGATGATGCCCGTCTGTATCTTCTCACTGTAAAAGTTGCAAGCCTGGCAGCTTCTCTGAGTCTTGCATGTCCTTCTTGGGGATCATCAGGCTTGGGCGGGGGGTTCCTGGGGAGCCTCAACACAACGTCACACCAGTGACCAATCCCACAGTCAGGCTCAAGGAGGGGAGGGTTTGCCGCGTGCCTCGAGCCCAGCTACTCGTTCCTCACCGGGTGGCGGGGGCGGGGGGCAGGGATCTGCGGACACCCTCCCGGCCCACACTCGAGCTCACCTTTCCCACAACTCGTTGAGCATTCTGTGGTCCCGAGCTGCTTCCAGTTGTGGTCCCGGCTTCGCCGTGGGGACTGTGGTGCCGCCGGCACCAAATCGTCCGGTCGATGGGGAGAAAATCCATCGGGATGCCTGACTGGGAAGGCCTGCGCTGATCCTGAGGTGAACACTTCAGGCGCCCCACCATCTCCTTCCTTCTCCTCGGTCCTCTCTTTCTCTTCTCGCTCCTCCTGGCTCCTCCCATCTGTTACCAGCTGGCCGTTGAAGGGCTCCCCTAGGAGAGGCAGGTGCACACACAGAAGAGAGATCGGTCTGGACGCTGAGTCCCACGGAGGAGATCCCTTCAACATTAGAAATTATGCAGAATGCCACCATTTCTAATTCACAACACATGTGCTTAAAACATGCAGATGCTCATTTCCCTAATATCCAAACCATTATTAAAAGCGAATGAGAGAAAGACGGATGTCTCAGGAGGAGAAGCAGGCAAGGGCCAGGAAGAGGCAAGTCACGTAAAAAGAAATGCAAACAGCCAAAAGTCACACAACAACGCTCAACTTCACTCATAGTTAAAGAACCACATGCTAAAACAAAAACAACCACCACAATTTTATTAGCCTGACAGTATCAGAAACTTTGGAGACCCTAACATCCCTAAACCTCTCATGGAAAGTACAGGGAAATACACCGGAGAAGGGGAGGGTAGATAGACACAAATTTTTGGAGGGCAATTTGGTCACATCCACCCTCGTTTTACACGCACGTGCCTCCTGACCTAGCGATTCAGTTTCTAGGACATTCATCATGCAAATAGTCCCATTCTTTTGAGTAAAGCTGCATGTACAACCATGGCTAGTAAAGCGTTATTTGAAATAGCCAAACAGTGGAGTGGATTTAAATGGCCACCAGGGTCCTGGTTAAAAACCATCAGGCTACAACCATGAATGGATGCTAGGTTACCTTTTTTTTTTTTTTTTTTTAAGAATGGAACAAAAAAAAAAAGCGGAGAAAATATATGTTGTGATATGGAAAGATGACCGATCCGTTGTTTGATGAGAGGAAAAAGCACGGCAGAGTTTAGCCTGCATACACATACATGCAGAGGTGTGGCTGGACACCTCCGGAGATTAAATCTGCTTTCTGCCCCTTGCGTCTGTTCCTCCTCCTCTCCCAGTCCAAGTGGCCAAGCCCTTAGGTTTTCTGGCCTCGGAGTTTTGCAGGAGAGAGAGTACAAGCTGCTGAAAGTCAACAGCCCTTCCTTCCTACAGTGAAAGCCTGAGTTCTCAGGAAGGATAAGGAGGCCCAGATACCCAGCCAGTCGAGGGAAAAGAGGAAAAGAAAGGAGGGAAAGGTGGAGAGCATTTTTTTGAGAGACACAGGGAGAGGGAGAAGTATTTCTAAGGCGAGGAGAGGGTGGAGTCAGGGGGCTGGGGCTTCCTGAGCACTGCAGACCTTACTCATGGTGATCTTCACTCCTATCAGGGGTGTGGGGGGGCCCCATATTTACTGAGATCGAATTTTCTACAAGTTTCAAATAGGTTTGCAGTTGAGGTGAGATCTCAGTTAGACTTCTGGAAAAGCCCATCATGCAATGTCCCTTGTACACTTGGATTGCAGGCAAAGGTTCCAAGGGGCTGTAAGCGTGTTTCTATGTGCACAGGAAAGGGCTGTGTGGAATCCCACCAAGTTGTAAAGAGATATTCCTTCTTGGGATGGGGTGGGAGGGATGAGGTCGGGGCATATTACCTTTTCTTTTTTTTCATAGACCTTATTCTTTTTTTTAGAGCAGTTTTAGGGTCACAGCAAAATTAAGTGGAAAGGTTCCATATCCTCCCTGGCCCCACACACGCACAGCCTCCCCCATCAACATCCTGCACAGAATAGGACAGCCGTTGCCATCCACGAACCTGCATCGACACACCATTATCACCCAAAGCCCATGGTTTACATCAGGGCTCAGTCTGGTGACGTACAATTTATGGGTTTCAACAAATGTGTAACGCTATGTACCCACCATTACGGTAGCATTGAGAATAGTGTCACTGCCCTCAAAATCTTCTGTCTGCCTATTCGTCCCTCCCTCCCCCTTTGCCCCTGGGAACCTGTTTAACGTCCTCATAGTTTTGCCTTTTTCAGAATGTCGTATGGTTGGAATCATGCAGCGTGGAGGCTTTTCAGATCGGCTTCTTTCACTTTAATAATGCGCACTGACCTTTCTTCCATGTCCTTTCATGGCTTGACAGCTCATTTCTTTTTGTGCTGAATAACATTCCACTGTCTGGAGGTACCAGACAGCTTATTCGTCCATTCACCTAACGAAGGATATCTTGGTTGCTTCCAAGTTTGGCCAGTTATGGAGCACTTGTATCTTACTTTATATATTTCTATTTTGACCGAATATTGTTCAAGTTCGATACAAACTAAGGAGGCAGACCCCAGAGTTACTGTAGAATCCGGTTAAAACTTAGGGCTCTCCCACCCTTCACCCGTATTTCTTATTTCGTTGGCTACTTAAGATATTTCATGGCTTAAATTATATGCAGTTTAAATCAACAGAATCAAGACTAGTCATCCCGCTATAAGTGAGACTAAAATGCTACCAGACAAAAACATTTTAAAATCATTTGCGTACCTCGCATACACTGGGCACCGTGCCGGGATGGATACCTGATATTCAATCCTTTTCCACTGCCTGTCGCCTCCAAAAACATCCCGGGAGTGTAGGGTTTTTTCCCCCTCACCATTTTGTAGACTGGGGATGTGCTCAGAGAGTTCCTGACTTGTCTGAAGCAAGCCAGCAGAAACCAGCAGAGCTGAATTTGAGTTCATGGAGGGTAAAGCCGACTCCCAGAATGCCCCTCCTCACCATCTTTCTACAACTGACTCCTTCTGGGCCTGCCTGCCCCAGGTCATCAATCCCATGCTACCGATCAGCTGAGACTCATCAGGCTTGTTATCAGTCATCATCACCTTATATGATTTCAAGTAGTCTGTCCAATTGCCTTATCAATCAGCATCAGACCCCAGTAACCTCAATATTCTGCCATCTGCACTTGGTTTCTCAGACTATGTGTCGTTCCTGCTGTGCTGATTTGCTGTTTGGACAACACGGGCACCCCATAGGCTGGGCACACACCCTGTTGTCTCCATGCAGCCAGGTGGTTTCTGCCTGACCTGTGACAATCAGATAACCCGGTTATCCATCTGGTGGGCTGGAGAAGGATGGTGGGCCGGGCCTCCTGTGCCCTCACTTCCCAGGACAGTTGTCAGACCAGGTAACTCAAAGAAGCGTAACAGTTACATAGTCACACAGGCTGACCTGAGGTCCCTGTGGGACCGGGGCAGATAAGTCAATCTAAGCTTCCATTTCCTTACTTTTAAAATGAGGCTAATACTAGCACCTTCTTCTGAGCACTATTGTGATAATTTGATGAGTTAATCTGTGTGAAGGGCTCAGCAGTATCTGGCACAGAGCAAGGGCTCAGTGTGTGGGTGATGATACCATTAATATTTATGCAGGCCTTCCTGTTCAAAAGATGGAAAAGAAAGTCTCCGTTTGGGTGGTGGGCTCCATTATCATTTGGTAAAGAAATATCTGTGGAGTCAGAGGGCTGCCTGCTGTGTCTATCAGCAAAGCCCACGGGAAAGAGGTAGACAGCTAGGCGTGAACTCATTATTCTTTTCTTACAAGTCAAAGCAGTGTTGACGGAAGCAAAGGGGACCAAGAGAAAAGGCATGAAGTAGACAGAATAATGGCCCTCTGAAGATGTTTGCATCCTAATCCCTGGAACCTGTGAATATGTTGCCATATATGGTAAAAGGGACTTTGCAGATGTGAGGAAGTTAAAGATTTGGGGATGGAGACTTGTCTTGGATTGTCTGGATGGGCCCGATGTCATCATCTGCATGCTCACGAGCAAGAGGCAGGAGGACGAGAGTCAGAGACGGAGATGTGATGACGGAAAAATGGGGTCGGAGCCCAAGATCCGAAGGTGCTACTCAGCTGGCTTTGAAGATGCGGGAAGGGGCCCAGAAGCAAGGAGTTCAGGAGGCCTCTTGACGTGGAAGGGGCAGGGTGACAGAGCCCCCTAGGGCCTCCCATAGGAGCATGGCCCACCGACACCTTGGTTCCCGCCCAGCGAGACCCGTGTTGGACAGATTCTGACCTCCTGAACCGTATGATAGCAAATTTGTGTGGTTCTGAGTCACTAAGTTTGCGAAAATTTGTTAGGGCAGCTGTAGGAACCTAATATGAGGTGCTTCCAAATGTCGAACTGGAAAGATAGATTTAGGATGTCCACCTTATTTTTGAATCAAGTGAATGAGACACGCTCATCAGCAAAGGCTCAGACAAATAGTAAAGCATTCTCTGATATTAAGTGCGTGCCCATGGGTTTTCTCCATGTTGACTGAGAGACACAAGGGAGATGCACAGGAAGAGACAGGGGGGCTTTAGAAGGAAATAGCAGGCATGCTTGGCAGAAACACAAGAGATTTTACCTGGTCTCCTGTGAGGAGGCACCTGGGGGCTGATGGCGTTGGTCCCCATGATGACGTACTCATAGTGGACTCCCGGATTAGGCTGCTGGTGTATCATCTGACAACACAAAGGTCAATGTCACTGCACTGTCACACACACCTTGCCTGTGGGCCAAGTTTCCGTGGTATAAATGGCACTATCTATTAATGAGTGGGTTGATTCAGATCTAATCATATTAGTGAACCTGTGGCAGATTAAATGAAAGCTCTTCCTGGATTGTTTTTTGTTCTTTGCTTTTGAAGAATGAAGAACTTGGAAGAAAACTAGGGGGAAAGTTAAGATTTTATACATTCCAAATAGGAAGATGGGACCAATGGTAGCAGAATCTTTCTGTTGGCTCTCAACCGTCTTACACCATAGCTTAGTTTGTGCTCAGTGCTCTCAAAATAGCCCAGACAGCCATGTCTATGCTACAGGGGAACACATTTGAACACTAGGTGGCGAGAGAAAATCATGCAAAGAAGAGCCAGCCGCCTTGGGCAGAGCCAGCCTGACATCCCTGAGGTTCCTTCAAAGAACCCTATCTGGCCATGAGGCTGGCTCAGGAAAGGTCTGCCCCACCCTCTCCCTCGTTCACGCTCTGGATCTCATCCCCTCTCATCCATGGAAAGCTCCAGAGCCACAGAGAGTTGGGGGGGCGGGGGGGGGGGAGCAGGAAAACAGGTGTAAGGCAAGTAAGTCTCCCTGGTTCCTGTTCTCTCAGGAACCAATGACAAAAGCAGGATATCAAGCAGGAAGCAGCAGAAGTCAGGAATTAAACACCATCTGGGACAAAAACCACAAAATCAATCAGCAGGCCTTTGCAGAAAAAATCCCTCCCTATTGGCTTTGGAACACAGAGTCCTTTGTGCCTATGGCCTTCCTGGCGAGGGGCAGGGCGCTGGGCTAAATGGAGCAGCAGAATGGGAATCCTCAGTGTAAATACAAGCCAGGCAAGGAGACACTGTCCCTACTGCTTTATAAAGGGGCTCTCCTGTTGGCCAGTTGTATACCCTAGAGCAAGTCCCATGGTCTCACGGTTTTTGATTTCTTCATCTGGAGCAAGAGGTTAGAATCACAGCTATCTCTTGGAATCTTTAAGCCACAAGCGTCTCCAAGTCACTCCTGCTTGGTGGGACCTGTTTTGTTGATGAGAGTGTCCATTCTGCCCGCCATCATCCCTTACCTTCTTCCTACATGTGAAAAGGGGCCTCCATTCTACAATCACCCGTGGGAAGGCAGACATGAGAACCACTGACCTCCCTACACCCAGGAACCATGGTGGTGAGCGCAAAGCCCCAAGGGGGGAAGTGGGGTGACCTCTGTTTCCCACCATCTACCCCTAATTCTCTCGTTTCTCTCTCCACATAATTTAACAGTGGGTCTGAGGCTGGAAACCCTCCCTGCCTCCCCCATGCCTCTTCTGCATGAGCATTCTGCCAGTGCAAACCCTGTCCCATTTATGAAATTATTGTTGGCCACCGAATCCCAGACCACCCACACCGGGCCTTTAACAACCTGGGTTTTTACCCCTGATGCCATTGGAAACTTACCCAGAGTCCAACAACCAACTGGACAGTCTTAAAAAAAATATTCAAAATTAACTATAACAAGGCTTCTTTTATAGTCTCTAGTCTATGAGCCACTAGGCCCAACAAGAATGAACGTGTAACTGTACAGCTGGAGAACGAATATTTATAGAATCCTAAGACAGCAAATAGCATGTAGATTAGCATGGCTTTAGAGATGGGAAGAGAGTACAGGTCTGTGGCTGAGCTTGTCTTTATCAAAACCTGATTTGAGTTTTATGTCTTGTCACCTTTTTTATGTCCTGAGCATTTTAAGAAGACTGGATTTTAGTGGTTTCTTTGAAAAATAAGGACCATTTTATACTCTTGGGCAACCTAATAATTTAGTTTCTTGTAAAATAAATCCCGAATTGTGTCTTCTGTAAGGCAAGGAACTTGTAGTAAACGTCTGTATTGTTCCTTCAAGCTTTATTGCACATCGTCTGGAGTACTCTGCAGTTCTCATTTCTTCCTTTGCTTTCACAGAATTTGAAGAGGGCTGGGAACTTGAGCGGTCTTGTCTTGCCTTGGGCATTTGCTTTCTTTTGCCATAAAAAGAAAACATGCCAAATTAGCATTAGGAAAAAAGTGTCGGGAGCGGAGCCAATGCTCATGAAATAAAGGGTATGTTTTGCCTCTGATTTGGTTCAACAAGTAAAAATGGTTTTAAGGGGTCAATAAACTCTGAGGGTAATAAGCATCTGGCAGAGTTTAAGGTTTCTATGAGCTAGGTACATTCAGAGGTGAATGGTGGAGGTGAACGCCAAGCATTTAGGCACCTCAAAGGCTCAGCTCAAATGGTTTTATTGAGCACAGGCAATGATCTGTTGCTTATTTGCGCTCAGGGTGGGACTTAGAAGAAGCAAGATGCAAAATTCAAACAGTCCAGAAACATCCAAACTCACATAGACATCCAAGATCTCATTAGTGGGGCCTTCGGCCAAAAAGGATTCTCCAGCGGTGCTCGAAATCTCATTTGGACGCTTGTAGGTGAACATGGTCCCTCCGCCTTCGTATTTTCCTGGCCGGTCAATTGCCCAGTTCCCGTTGATGATGGAGCGGCCAGAACGACTTCGCAAAGCTGTCGAGAAAAACAAGACGATTCCTCGGGTAAGGGCAGGGTATGCACAAGAAAGTGAAGTGACCCCACGTCAAGTGTTCCATGAGGACCCACTATGTGCTAGGCACTGATCTAGGCCCTGAGGGAGGTGAGGCATCTAGATCACATCCCTTCGGGTTTCTTCAACTTCTTGGTTCACTTCTTCAACCCATTCAATGCCTTCCACCCCTTGAACTTAGGATAGAAAAGAGGGGCAAGAGTAGTCAGGAGAGAAGAATGTGGAAATAGAGAGGGGGGTGGGGAAAGTTAGAGGAAGAAGAGAAAAGGATGGGAAGGGAAACTGTAGTATATCCCATTATCTAGGTGAGAGGTTGCACATTGGCAGCCGGTGAGCTGATTTTGGCCCACAGATAGGCTTAGTTTGGCCGTCATAGTGTTTTGTTTTGTTTTGAAATAATTGAACCCAAATTCAATTTGGGTTCTGTAGCTTCTAGCTTCTCTTGTAAAACAAGAAGACATGTTACCATTGGCTCTACAATCTGTCATGGTAGGAACCAGCTGGAGCTGAGGAGGACCGCCCTTTAGATGGGATTTGTGTGCTCTGCTTTGTCCTAACCCCCCATTCCCTAATACTCCCCCACACTGAGGCTGAGTCTCAGTGTACTGTCCATTTATTGACGGCTATGGGTTATTTATTCCATTTATGATCATGCCTGCATTGTTATTTGTCTTACGGAAATAGAAATTTGCTTATAATTCTTTCTACTTGTGTGTCTACTAAAAGTGACAAAACTAAAGATAGGTCAAGAGGGTCACACGATTCTCTCCTACCTGATCACCTTCATTCATTTGTATGACCTTCCTGACTTCTGTGGGCTTCTGAGGCTGGGAGCCATGCTGACCCTCCCACATACACGGTTAAAATTAATCCTCATGTGGGGCGCCTGGGTGGCGCAGTCGGTTAAGCGTCCGACTTCAGCCAGGTCACGATCTCGCGGTCCGTGAGTTCGAGCCCCGCGTCGGGCTCTGGGCTGATGGCTCAGAGCCTGGAGCCTGTTTCCGATTCTGTGTCTCCCTCTCTCTCTGCCCCTCCCCTGTTCATGCTCTGTCTCTCTCTGTCCCAAAAATAAATAAACGTTGAAAAAAAATTAAAAAAAAAATTAATCCTCATGACACAGCTAAGCAGGCGCATGTCCCCGTCAGAGCGTTGATCAGGGATGGGGGGGAACTTGTTCAAGTTGGCGAAGGTGAGAAGTGACAAAACTGTAACTGTGTCTGTGCTCAGGAGGGGAGGTAAGAGAGGAGAAGAGCGGCAAGGAACAAGGTTCTTGTGTTTATGAGAGGACAAAGGACAGCATGTGAGAGCTGACTTTCCTCCCTTAGGGCATCTGACACGATGAAACTCAGAAGCCAATGGTGGATTGGGTTGAAAGGAGACCCCGTGGTGTCATATACACAGTGGGCCTGTGATGGTCACTGGATCTCTGCACCCTCACTTTCACAGACTTACTAAATTTAATTTTCTACAATGTATTATGGAAAAATTTATATAGAAACAAAAGCAGTGAGAACAGTATAATAAACCGTATACCCATCACCCAGTGTCAATAATTATCAACTCATGGCTTATCCTGTTTCCCTCTGCAAATCCCAGACCCTTTTATCCTTATATTTTTCAGGAGGTGTCTCGAAAATATAAGGACTCTTTGCTTATTTAAAAAAAAAATTTTTTTTTAATGTTTATTTCTGTTCCTTCTTCTAGAATGTTTCTCTGAACCCCAAATCCAATTTGTTCTTTAGATGTCAGCTCTTCCCCAACCCCCAGTCAGGTCTGTCTTTTCTTTCACATGTTCTACGAGATGCGAAAGCCTCTCATCCAAGGCACTTAACTCTGTACATACATCCATTCAGTGTCTGACTGGACTAACGTTTGTCTCCCGGAACACTGCCGGCTCCAAAAGGTGTTTCCTCACTGTTACAGGTCTAGCGATCAGCAGAGAGCTTACCACCTAGTAGGAATTCATATTTGCTCAAGGCAAAGCTGGACAGCAGAGAAAGGCACCAGCTCAAAAGAAAGATAGGCAAGGAATGATCAACAGGCAATTTAAAGAAAACCAAGTCCCGATATTTCATAAGCAAATGAAAAGCTGCTCTGCCTTACTTATAATTTAAGAAATGCAAATCAAAACCACGATGGGATATTCTTGACCCACCAGAATGGCAAATGTTTGAAAACCTTTACTATTGCCGGAATTCGCAGGTGTGCGAGTAAGCAGGCATCCATAACATTGTTGGTGGGAATGTAAGCCAACTCAACCATAGTGGAGGGCAGTTTGGTTACATTGCTAAAACTTTAAGTGCCTACACACTTGGCCCAAGAATTGTACTCGCATGAAACTACTTTGAGGGATATACTTTTATAAGGACACAAAAGCGTTTGTAACAAGGATATTCTCTGCAGATTTTTTTTTATTTTTTAAAAAAAAATTTTTTTTTTTTCAACGTTTATTTATTTTTGGGACAGAGAGAGACAGAGCATGAACGGGGGAGGAGCAGAGAGAGAGGGAGACACAGAATCGGAAACAGGCTCCAGGCTCTGAGCCATCAGCCCAGAGCCTGATGCGGGGCTCGAACTCACGGACCGTGAGATCGTGACCTGGCTGAAGTCGGACGCTTAACCGACTGCGCCACCCAGGCGCCCCAAGTTTTGCAGATTTTTTTTTTTAAATAGAGAAAACCCCCAAACAACCTAAATACCTCAATCCTCAGTAGAGGATTATTTACATAATTTGTCATACTGAATGTCCACGCAGTGGGATGCTAGGTGACCGTAAAAACGAGATAGGTCTGTGTGTGTGGGTATGAGAAGAACTCCGTGATAAATTTTTATTTAAACTTTTTTTTTTAATTTTTTTTTCAACGTTTTTATTTATTTTTGGGACAGAGAGAGACAGAGCATGAACGGGGGAGGGGCAGAGAGAGAGGGAGACACAGAATCGGAAGCAGGCTCCAGGCTCTGAGCCATCAGCCCAGAGCCTGACGCGGGGCTCAAACTCACGGACCGCGAGATCGTGACCTGGCTGAAGTCGGAAGCTTAACCGACTGCACCACCCAGGCGCCCCTTATTTAAACTTTTTAAATGTTTGTTTTATTTTTGAGAGACAGAGCACGAGTCGGAGAGGGGCAGAGAGAGAGGGAGACGCAGACTCTGAAGCAGGCTCCAGGCTTTGAGCTGTCAGCAAAGTGGGGCTCGAACTCATGAACTACGAGATCATGACCTCAGCCGAAGTTGAATGCTTAACTGACCGAGCCATCTGTTTTGTTTAAATGAAACAAAATGCAACATAGTGTGTTTGCTATGATCTCATTTGTATATACTTTTAAATAAAGGCATATACATAAAACACATATGCCCATGCATAAAGCTTTTCAGAGAAAGTCATAAAACTGTTAACATTTGGGGACAGGAACAAGGGTTTAGGTTGGGATGGGAGATAAGAAGGGAAACATTTATTTCCCATTTTGTATCTTTTTATTGCCATTTAGAATTTGTTTTACCCTATGTGTATATTACCTTCTTTAAAGCTTCAACATTTTTCAGTTAATTTAAGGGACATGGTACAAACAGAAGTACTCTCGAGAGATATACATATTTCCCTCTTTTTACTGGTTCTTCTTAAAATCTCATTCAGAGCATCCAAAGCTCAGAACTGATGTAGGTTCTGGCTAAGGTTTTATTGCTCTTAATGGCAATATCGTAGAAGAGGTTGTTATCCGGAAACCAAAAAGTCCATTAAAAAACCATCTGAAATACCGCATAGGAGGGAACCGTGAGGGTTTCCCAGGAACTAAAACATGGGGACCCCAAATCTTTTTACCATCTACTACTGTTACCCCTGCCCCTGCTCTCTGGGTTTAGGTGAATCTTTCACCATATAATAGCAAAGCATAAAAAAAAGCCATGTGAGGTTTTTAGCAGACATGGGCCTGATTCCATATGCCCACAGGTTAGCTTCTGAAACGGCTCCAGAACTAGTCCCACCTGGGCTTGCATATTGAAAGCAGCTGCACCCACAATTTACGTGCCTGTAAGCAGTTCCAGTGCTGCGTAAGGGTGTCCAGAACTACCCCACAAAAAGGTGCAGGTGACTCATGGCTCTCGCTAGCGGTGTGTTCATGGAAGGTCAAGCTTTAGCGAAGCTTGTCGCAACTGTGTCAATAAGAGGAAACCTCCACTCTCGTTTGACATACGCCTTTCATTCGTTTTAGCTGCCAACTCTGGGCATCTACGTCTGGCCTAAACTATCTGCACCGACAAAGCCCTTCTCCAAGATTCACATAGGAATCGCTTATAGAACTAAGCCCTGCTTCTCAGGCACTTTATCCCACAATCTTAACGCCTGCTGCTGCCGGCCGAATTGCCAGGCCCCGCCCCGCGTCCCAGCAAGAAAGGTGGCCTCCTGACAGCCAACAGATCACTGCGAGCTTGTCGTGTTTCTCCCTTTGGGAAATGAGAACGGAGTTCCTCCTAACAAAATTCCAAGCTTCTCGATGTTTCGGCAGTTCTAAGAAGCTGTCTGGGAAGTGGCAGACCAGGAGCAAGGACAAAAGGGTCAGACATCACCGGCCGCCTCGTGATGCCAGCTGGAGGTCTGCGGCCCTGCCATCGTCGCCCCAGTCTATGGGCTTCCACGGAAGCTCACGTGTGGGCACAAACCCAAGTGAGTCTCAGAATATGCTCGCTCATCTGGATATCCTGAAAACGGAAGACACCTACTCACCTCGCACTACCACCTTGGAGGGGTCAGTTACATCCTGAGTGTAGTGTTCCTTCTACGATAAATTCAGCCACCAATCCTAACAGTATCAGCAGTACTTTGTGCTCTGTATCCTAATGGAATTAGCAGTTTCTCTGGGGACTTTGTCACCAATAGAAATCACCTATGTATTCATAGGACATTACAGATGTTACAGGTAGTCTGAAATATTGTTTAAAAACCTATCACTATCCTGCAACGACA